GTGCTTTGTGGTGCCATTGGTGGTAATTTTCAAGACAGAATGGATTACACTTTTAGAAAATACATTCTATTTTTATTTTTTTTTTCTTTAAATGCAATTAGATCCAATTACTAATGCCTATAAAGGGAAAATGGCCATGATTATAACTACTATGAAAAAGTATTTTAGAAATCTCACAATATCAACTTTTTTACCCATTTCTGTTTTGATAAATGAGCTATGGGTATGATATTCATCTCTCACATAACTTCTATCTTTATATTGTGTGAAAATAACCCTTAATTGTAGAACATGCCAAATTTTCTTCCCTAAATGGACAGGAAAGACAATTCTCCTAAACAAGGGAAGTTGCTAATAGATGGGGAGGGGAGTTCTCTTTACTTAGTAACCCCGTAAGCAACAGGTCTCTTTTGTCAAAAGCCCACTAAGTTAAATTACTTTAAAGTCTCTACATAAGTTTATAAATTATGGTTTTGATCAATAAAAAAAGAGTGTCCTTGCATGTAAGTAACATAAAAGGAATATCCATTCGTATAGATAATCCACAAGCTCATGGATAAGGAAAGAAGGTGCTGAAGAATCATATTTTCGTTACAGGTTCACTTTAAGCTTATTGCCAGGGTACTTACCATCATCTGAAATCCAATACTATAATAATTTGTGTCATAAAAATTACTTGGAAAGCTCAGGTGCCGTTGTACTTTTTGCTACATATATTAATTATGAAAAAAAAAATTAATTAGGGCTTCACAGTATAGTGGCTATTAAGTGATATAATATGAAACTGGTGGCCAAGAGTTCCTGAATGTTAACTCCAGGTGTGCCACTAACTGTATCTTCTTGAACAAATTCCCTATACCTCATTTGTGATGCTTTTGGTTATGCTGAGCAACACCTGTACCTACCAAACAGATGTGTTGATTTCCGTAACTTTAAGATGAGTAAAGCAGTACTGGAAGTAAATCATAGTAACAGTATTTGGCCTGCACTCTCTCTTTGAATCATATGTGGTGTTGGTAGGTGGTCTTGTGCAAAGCAACAGAGCAATCTGTCATATAAAAAAATACAAAGTTCTCTTTCTTTCCCTTTTTTAACTTTTAGAGCTGAAATTTGTGTATCCTCAGAGTGAAAATGGCTTCTTATTGCCTAGTTTGTAGAACCCTGGTCTCACTTAGAGTGAAGCTTAGGCCCTGAAATGGGCTATATAAAATCTGGGGTTTGAGAGTGTAACTCCTAGTTAAATAGTGTTAGTGATGACACTGTAGATGAATTTCAACCTTAAACCAAAACTTCAAAAATAATAATCTCAGAGGTCAAACTCCTCAATTCTTGTCCAAAATGGGTGTATCAGTGCAAATACTTTTGTATTCTGCAGGCTTTGTTCATTGACAGAGTCCTAATAAGATGACTAATTTTTCAAATAGAAAAGTCTTTTTGGCATTAACTGAACATGGAAGTGCTCACCACTTTGGAAAAGCAGGTCACGTAACAATTTAATATGCACTCAGGAGTTTGATTCTAGACTCTTGCTCTTTTAAATATTCATCATGCTAGTCTTAGTATATAGATGCCCAGAGAGCGACGTATGCATTGCAGTGAAAAATGCAGCAAACACATAAATTAATAAGCATTGAACAAACCAAGTTCATTTCTGAAACAACTGATCTGCACAGCTGCCTGGGCAGATGTTCTTCAGAAAAACAGAATGGGTTAATAAGGAAAAAAAATGCAGCTTCCTTCACTTTGACAGTTGTCTTTTGAGTACTTCTCTTGTATTGCTAATATTTTTGAGTGGAATCTGTTGGAGCAGTTCATCGTTGATCTATAGAAAGAAGATATTAAGTGATAATTGTATACGTTAAAGGCTGGATCAAAGTCCAACAGCATTTATCGCTTTGTGGTTTAAACATTTCCAAAGCACAAATGAGACTAGCAGGCTATATTTAATAGCACTTTGGGCTGATATAATACTATTTTGCATAAATATTTGCTAATTAATTTTAAAATGTACAGTAGGTATTATGCATGGGTAATAATGCTTTGCCTGTTTCCCAAGAATGCTTTAGATACTAATTATATTCTCAAAACACACTGCAGATAATATGTACTAAGCATTATTATTGTGAATTGGCTTCATTTAAGATGTAAAACTGCTAGAGTTGCACAAGTCCTTATGCACATTATGAATATTTTAGCAGTGCTCATGCCTGATGTAACCTAAATCAACAATCATTTCAAAACATATTTGTTTTTCCAGAATATAGATTGTAATTAATCATGTCTTTTTCTGGGGGAGGAGGAGAACTGGAACTGACCTCCTGTCAGATCTCCTAAGCTTTAACTTTTCACTGAGATTCCTCTCTATTATTTTCATATGTAATTCTTGTTCTCCTGCCATGGGGTAAACTGTAAATGTAAATGGTCGTAGCTCCGCTGCCTTCAGTGGAACTGCACCCATTTGCCCAAGGTAAGTGTCTCTCCTCTGTTGCTCTGCAATCTCTTTCTTTGCTCAGGAGTGCAGAGTGGACTCTTTTCTGTATTTTCTCATTCGTCCATCTCCAGAACTGCTTTCTCCTTCTTACATTCCTCTGGGCCTGAGCATCACTTGTATCCAAAATTCAAGGTTTGCAGAGACAAATGCGCAAATGTTGTCTCAGCCTGTCATTTACTGAGGAATTACTTCACTGTTGGAGTTGAAAGAATCACCCATTAAGAACAAGGTTCGTGAGAAAGCATTGATAGTTTGGCCCTAGAAGTCGTTAACCTGTTTTCCATGTGGATGAGTGCCATTTGTTCCTGTGTTCACTGTTTTCATTTTTTCTGTATTTCTGTTGTATTTGACTATGCAGCACTAAAACACTCCAGAAGTTGCCGTTGTGTAATTATAATAGCAAACCACTGTATTTTTACATCCATTTTTGACTTTTGTTCTCATTTTTATATCTCAGTAGACTTCAGTGGAATGTCAGAATATCAATAAATGGGTCTTTGGAGAATAGAGGCTCTAAGACTCCAAAGAAATATAAGTCATTTATCAGAAGGCTACTGTGAAGCAGGAATTTGAATTTATAACATGAAAAATAATTTGAAAGTAATTTTATATATATAAAACCAGAACATAATGGTAGTAGGGAACCTTATAAAAACAAGCAGTACTGACAGGTCTATGTAAGCAGGCTACTGACTATTCATATTGCCAAGAGGTGAAAGAAGAATTTCTGTAATAAACTTGGTCTTATCTACTGGAAATGTCAGAAGGTGTGAAAAGACTGGGCGTATTAATCAATCAAAGTATGACTTTGAGTTATGAACCTGTCATGGGGCTACAAAAGAGGAAAATCTAATCATAGACCATATCAGGCAATGAATTACCACCATTATATTGCCGAACTCTTATCCGGAATACTTTATCCATTCTAGTCAGCCTGATTTCAAAGAGATGAATTCTCACCGGAGCAGGTGCGGAAAAAGGGAATTAACATAACCAGAGAATGACAATCTACCTCAAGAGACAGGAACTGAGTATCATAGTTAAGTGAGTGCTGGGAACAAATATGCTGTAAATAAATGCAGAGCGCAAGTATGCAAGTGGAGTTGATCAAACCACAGTTACGTAAGGTAAAAAGAAATGTCAATTTTAAAGTAAAAGGATATTAACTGGCTATGAAAAAGTCAGAATTTGTCCAGTTGTCTGTTGAGTAATGTTCTGGGCATGGCTTGCACCATGAGTTGAGGGAAAACTATGATAAAATGGCTTGTGTTCTCTTGTGGGCTCGAATTGCAAAGATGAGAGTTCATCCAGAGATCCACTGCACTCCTCTGTGGTACGCTCCGTGTTGTAAAAGACCGCTTAAGACACTGTCTTACATAACTAGAAAATCGTGTTGAGGCAATTTATTTGGTGACCTTCTTACCATAAAAGTGAGATACGGATACGGTGTGTTCATTTTTGAGTTTTTGCCATGTTACAAAACCAGTAAGGCAAAGGTACGTGTTTATTGACCTGTAGTTAGAGTGGTGCCTATGTTAGTGTTAGTATTAGTCCCTGTGTTAGACCCTTTGTATTGCTTTGGAACTTAAAAAATTCAAAAGGTACAAGTTAAAGCAGGCCCATGTCTTAATCCCTGGTATTTGTTGAGACCTTATAAATAAAATGCATTTTTGTTGACTTTTCATTATAAAAGATGCTGCTGAAGGAAATTACGATAGCCAATCTTTTCACATAATTGTTTCAAGAACGAACCTGCCTACACTGTTGCTTAAAGTCTTTGGTCCTTAATACCTTAGTGAAAACTTGGATGATAGAACACCCAATTCTTGGGTGTCAGAACAATAATTTCTCTGAGACTCTAATCCACTTGAACCAATCTGTACATGCTGTACCAAACTGCAAGCTCCCAGTGTGAGTTCAGATCACATGGGTCATGTGAAGGTGGTCAGCTATCACCCAACTGGTATGACTGGTATGCAGAATTTATCCTGGAGGTTAGTCATCCTCCCTCTTCAGATACTGCCTTCAGCTCTACACCTGAATCACAGTCTTGTGACCATGGGTGAGGGCTAACCAGTACCTTTAGGTTTATGGTACCTTGCTATCAAGAGCATCCAGCAACAAATCTCCATTGTTAAGTCTTCTAGATATGCACAGCAGCATGCAGTGGGATACATTTTGGTTCCCCAGTGCAACCTTGGCATTTGGGTGAAGAAAGCAGCGCTCCTTAGGGCTGAAGGACTGTGACAGTCCCTAGCCTTTGTGAAATGTACCCCACACCTTTCGTGGCTCCAAGTGCCATGGCCATCTCCCTCTGTGTTCCTACAGCTTGTGCAGCAGTTTGTTCAGCATTCTTTCACTTCACTTCCTTTTTTTTTTTTTTTTTTTTTTTTTTCCTCTTACAGATGGACAAAAGAGGAAGCTTCCTCAGCCTTGGGCGGCGGTTTTTTCAGCATTTTTTCCCTTCCCTTCCTTTTTTTTTTTTTTTTTTTCTTTTTTCCTCTTACAGATGGACAAAAGAGGAAGAAATCATTAAGAAAGAAACTGGACTCATTAGGAAAGGAGAAGAACAGAGACAAAGGTAAAACAAAATGAGTAGATATTTACTGTTTGGGTCTTAGTTTTGCATGTGAGATTTCTTTAGTCTTAAATATATACTTTCTGGAATAGGAGAACGTTACTGAGCTGATGTACTGCCTGGGTGTTTATTTCCAAGTTGGAAAATATGTCTTATCGTTTCTATTTGTCATTAGTATAACCCAGATCTCTTCAACTGAAAGCTTATTTCCTGGGAGAAAAGGAGGAGTTAAAGGACTGCATCTTTTCATCCTTATTCTTCTTCCCCATTTTCACCATCCCGTGCAGAGTGCGGTCTGGATAACATGATGCAGTTGTTTACCTGCATTTGCGCTCTCTTTCAGTTTGCAAAGCGTGTGAAGCCAGCCCTGCCCAAGCAATTCAGTTGGTTTGCTTTTCTTCTATTAGCCCTAGGAAAATAGCTGTTGTTTAAAACATATAAATGCTTCAGTGCTACTGATCAATTGGGTTTTAATAGACTCCAAGTGACATGGATTTACAGATACAGTTAGACTCTTTTGTTTGGACACTAATCAGCTTTATGGGCTGGGTCCTAATCCACTGGACTTGACCTGTAATTTGCAGCCATTTAAGCTAAGTCTAGACATTGAAACCTGAAAAGTGTCTCTGAAATTGCAGTTTTCTGTATGTGGGTAATTGTGCATCTAATTTTGTGTGCCCTCCTGGAAAAGTTGTTCTGGAAAAGTGGTAGTAAAACTCAGTATTAACACCCCAGTTTCACAAACACACACACAAACACACATTTATAACAAGAGAAGTGATTTGGTTACTCTGATGTTATTCCCTGTAATCTAGTTTGATAGAAGGATGGAACTTTGAAATTCCATTGAAAAAATGAACATTCCCACTTCAAAGTTACTTTAAATATTTGTCAGGAAGAAAATGCTTTCCTTTCAATTTTTGTTTGTTTGGTAACTTCATGTATGTGATTATTGTTTTCTTGGTTTAAAAATGGCTATGGAAAATATTTGCATTAATCCTTCTAAAACCCCTGACAAAAGTCCCCTGACACATTTGTTTGGATAAATCCAATTGCTTCCCATGTTGGGTTGTGAGTCACAAATCTTTCATTTGTTATGAGAATTACTTGATGTAGGACCGAGCCCACATGCAGAATGAGTCTTCGAGGAAGAGGTTTAATGATTTTATAGCCACCTTTGGGGGAAAATCTATCTTGTACTGCTCCTCTTAATGCATTACATTTAGCTGTAGTGTAATTAATTAGTCATTATGTTGCTTAGTTTCCTTAGTTTTTTTCCCATAGTTCTCCATGCAGTTAAAAGTGCAAAGCAACATAGTTCTGTGCAAAACCTTCCCTGCTTTTCAGTGTATTTGCCAGATACTGATCTTCATAGTGGTCTGTGGGGTGCTCTTCTTCATTGGAAATGGCTAACCGCTTACTACTTTCTTCTTTTTTAATGTTCTGTCTCTCACAAATTTTTGATCCACTGAGAGCTTTTATCTTTTCCCCATATGGGTAGCATGACTTCAGTAGTCTCCTTAGAAAGTTTCTATTTAGAAGCTCTTTTGAAAGTTTAAATACATTTTATCTTTTTATTCTCACATTTTTGATTGCAGTAGCAGATTTTTAGCAATAACAAATGGATTTGATAATTCACCAAAGACCTAATTTTGTTGTCACCCAAATGTGGTGGATCTTTGGAATTACACTTCCATGACTCCTCCAATGCCTCTTTGGTGCCATGCCTTGAGATGTGATAGCTTCTTCCTTTGGTGATGGATACAAATGCTTATCCCGGAGTTGCTCTTTATTCCTCTAAGTTCTCTGTTGTCAAAGATTTTTCAAACAATATTTCTTCTTACATTGCTCTGTACTCTCTTGTGATTTCCTTATAGCCTCGTTTTATTTCAGCTGACCTCTGTTTCTGATAATTACACAACCATACTGGTTGAGTACTTGCAGATAATATTATTTTCTGCTGTTACATTTCTGTTCAGGGTTGGTGGTTTGTTTTTTTTTTGTGTGTTTATACCTTGCATGATAGCATATATACTCCATTCTGTTAATAACTTTTGGGATATACTTTCTGTTTTCATTCAGATGGATTTTCTGAGTGCACTTTGCCTGTTTAGGGCTCAATAGTTGCCCACAGCAAAGGTCAGCACTTTGTACTTATTCATCCTTGTATATATTTATCTACTTCCTGTTTTTCAGCATTGCTCATATCTTCTGGTTAACTATACCCAAGCATTTTTAAAAATCACCCTGCTGATTCTCTTAATTTCTCCCCCCCCTCCCCCCCTCCCTGCCTTTAACTTCAGGCATTTCAAACATGTACCCCTCTGCTTTTATCCTCTTTCTCCCATCTTCCACTGCCTTATTCTTATTTATAGAGATGTCTTATATGCTCTCTCCATGTATAAAATATTATTGGAGCACCCCCTGAGGGGAAAATACCCCAGCACTACTCAAACAGCAGAATCTGTATTTCTCTCCTTCCTTCAGGACGTCTGTATTGGCAGGGCTGTCGGGTTGGTCAGTAAGGGTACAGAGAGCCAGGAAATGGGAAGAAGTCAGGTTCCCAAGCAGGTTGTGTTAGCGGAGTGAAAAGAAAGCCACGTTGGCTCTTATTTGTTGCCAACAGCAAACATTAGGCAAAAAAAGCCCAGATAGCAGCATATGGCACCCTACTTCTCGGGATTTCTGTCCATGGTTGTTGCTGGTGTACTCTCCTCTGCCCTACTGAGTTATTAAAGATCATCTGCCCCACAGATACTCACTGAGCAGACTCTGAGTCCATGACAGTAGAGGGGATGAGCAACCAGGAGGGTGCTGGATTGTGCTATGAGGTCCATTAGCCTGGCACAGGCTGTTTTCCTGTGGGAAGCAGCAAGCACCAGCATCTCCCTCAACCTCAGGAGTTAGGAGGGACAGCGTCACCCAGCTTTCAGGTGATGAGCTGGCTTTGGAAGGAAAAATGTAAGGTCACGTCGTGCTGCTGGTCTCCATAAGGATGAGCCTGCCATGCTCACATCGTGGCCAAGCCCCACCACCTTCCCTGAACAGTGGTCTTCTGTGTCACCTAAAGTCAGAGTTAACCTTCCTCGGCATGTGTGTCACAGCAAGCTGGAAGCATTATGCTGCTCTGTTCCATTGTAGTTTTTTAACGAGCATTTCTACCGTTTATTTTATAAAGAGAGTATCTTCTATTACTGGGCAACCAGTCCAAAACAAACACTCTGCACTGTGGGCGTGGATGTGCTCACACAAAGGGCTGAGAGTGCTTACTTACCCATCTGGGCAGGTCCGTAGTCCTCATGCCCAAAAGGAATGCCTTCCGTCTGTTTCTTTTTGGGTTTTTGTGGTGGTTTTTTGTTCTGTTTTGTTTTGGTTTTTTGGTAACTAGTCCAGCTGCGCCATTGTGAGAAGGAAACGGCAAGACCAAGCCGCAGGACGTCGTAGGGGAAGCAGGGAAGACAATTTCCAGAACACTTTATATAGATGAGTTCTATGTGCCTTCATGCAAACAGCATTTCCATACCTTCGGCGTCACTTTTGTAAGCACAGTTGCAGTTTGAAGAGTACATAATTAATTCCAAACATTTTGAGTTTCCTATATCCCAGCCTGGGAGACCCCACATACCAGGACAAGTAACAGCTGAAGGGGCTATGTTGTTAGGTCTTGCCTGGAATACATGCTACCTGAAAAGTCTTTTTTTTGATAGATAGGCTCCTGAAGGTTAATCCTGACAATCACACGGCACCGTGTGATCCTGTGCATGGGTTGCAGCCAAAGATCACTGAGATGTGCCTGGCACAGGAAGCCACAGAGGTGGGGAAAAAGGTCACCGTGCTGATCACCGGGGATGCACGATGGAGACCATGCTGCAGGGCACGTGAGGCACGAGCCTTGCGCAACTTGTAGCGCACGCAGTCAGCGTTGTGTCTTCGTGTGTGGGCAGTTCCTGAGAAAGAGCAGGGAGGACTTGTGTCCTTGGTCTTGCCTGACAAACTCTCTCCTTCGGCACTGACGTGCACTGAACTGCCCTAGGGTGTAGACTTCTGGAATTGTTCTCTCTGGGGAGGTACCACCTCTCTCCAATTTGTGCCCAAGACTGTTCTCCCTCACCCCACTCCACCTGGTGTCTGTGCTTAAAAAGCATAACCAAAAAGATAGGGTACTCATTTCTCCTAGGACTGTCTGGAGATTTAATCGCTCGTATTTTAGGACGTGGTCCAATCACGTTTTATTTAGATGGATGAGTCGATCAGCCTGTTAAGTGAGAGTTAAGTCTCTCACTGTTAAGTGAGAGTTTCAGCAAACTGTTACACTTCTCAAGGCCAACGAAGACACTAAAGTTGAATTGAATGCACTTTAAACGAGATTCATATCTTTGTTTTGTCCTTTTGGACAGGTACATCTGTCGTCATCTCATTAAAAGGGGAAAAATTCTAAAACAAGTGTTTTTTTCAATTGTTTTTACATCTCTGAGTGACTCACCAGAGCAGGATATCACAAAACTTGCCGGATGTAAACCAATGAAACAGGAGAGCAGCACTCCACCCAGATATTTAAGCAATATTTTCAGCTTCCATTATTCAGTGTCTTTGCTTTTCTCTACCCAGCTTCCTTGTTATTAATGGCCGTCATGACTCTCAATTGTGCTGTCTGCATATGCCTCCAAACATTTGCTTTAGCTGCTAACAAAGAGTACTCGGGCTGGAGGAGCAGTAAAATGTCAGTGCTGCTTGGAATAAGAAATTCTCAGGATGCTCTGCATGCTGGCAGCCGGGTACTGTTCCCTGACAAATTCACTGCTAATTTTGACGGCAGCAGAAGTGGAGCCTTTCGTCCGTCTCCTGCCAGTGATACGGGGGTCAGTGTAAGCATTGCTGAAAGGATTCATCCTAGAAGATTTTATCAGTAAACCAGCTCCATTTTGCCTTGGTTCCAGTAAACCCTACAGGTGATCTGAGAGGCCTGCTCAGAAAAAATAATTACTTGTTAAGCGATTTGTTGAGCAACTGAGAATCATCCCTTCTGCTGGTGTTTCTGTGTGGAATGTAAATACTTGACAGGTTCATCCACAGGGCCTTAGCAGAGCTGCTGTATACGCTGGAGTGTCTGAGAAAAGGCCTTTCTGGTAACTCTGTGGCATATGCAAATCCAGCAGTAGATGTTTGATTTTTCTTTAGTTCAGAATTCTTGAAAACGTCTTCCATGTTTACTTCCCAGCCATGCTCAGTAAATTTAGAGGTATTTCTTAATGTTTGCATTTGTTCTTCAGTAATTCAACCTATCACGATGTTAGAATGCCTTGGCATAGCCTAAGGAGAGAGCTGAATAGATGAAGTTTCTTTTTTATTATAGTTTATCAGAAACATGTTTTTCTCAAGCCTTTCCAGCACCCCACTGTGCTTTTTTGAAAACTTCAAAAATGTTTCTCATGTTCTCTAGGCATACGAAAGGTTTTTTTTAAGCAACACCCTGTCATATTTTGTACTGAAGTCAACTAAAGGACTGAAGAACCTCTCAATTTTTTAAAAAAAACAAAGACCTAGCCACAGAAAAAGCCTAAGTAATTGCAAAGGCCTTATATCACTCCTTGAAGGTCAGTGAGCTCTGACGAGCTGGAGAAGGGAGTTTCAGCCTTAGAGCTGAGGCTGTGAGAACATTGTCTTATGTTGAGTCTTCTGGAGTCAGTGCAGGGTTTTGACGAACCTTCAGATGGAGGGAGTTTTGCTGTTCCAATTATGGATCGAGGTTTCCATTTTCTGTATTTTCTTGCTTCCATCACTCCCTCTAGAGATCCAAAGTAATTAATTTCAGGTAGCAAAACGGAGTTACCCAGTCTGGCTAGCTGGAGAGGTTGACTTAAAGACCTGTTTAAGTCCATTTAAATATACCTTTTAAAGCATATTATTCTCTGAGCTGTCTCCCACTCTGTTCCTATCATTTAAATAGAGGTAGTACAAGCACCTCATTAGATCTTGGTCACAAGGTTTTAGCAGCTCAAAAACAGCACTTAAGCTGTACTTAAGAAAAAAGCACCAAAGTGCTAAGGAGACTATCCAAAGTTGCTGTATTGTATGCTGCTCGTGTTATTGACATTGACAGCCTCATTAGGGTCTAGAGATAGACCTCACTGGTTCTTAATAGACTGCTATGGTTTGTGGGATGGAAACCACAATTTTCACCAGCTGAAACTTCAGAGAAGTCTTCGAGACTGTACATAGACGGGGTGGCATGAGGCCATATGGATCAACATCCTGGATATCAGGATTTGATTAGGAAAGAAAAGGATTTCTGGTCACTGAAACTCTTATTTGATCTGGCTGGGAGTTTTTCTGTGACATGCTGCTTTTTACTAGACAATGATGATTTGCCATCACAGAAAGATTTCTTAGGAACATACCAGTTTCGATCAAAATTCTGTTAAGAAACTTCCTTCAGCTGCAAGATAGACTTTCTGGTAAAAGAAATCGTGCACTTCTCCAAAATAGCAATTTGTCTCCTGTGCCAGTAAACACTAAAAATGAGAATGGATCAAAATTCAAGTCCTTGTACACTGCTGCTCAGGCTAAGGATATGAGTCTGTGTTTCCACACTGATTGCCCAGTCTGCCAGGTTGTTTCACGTTTTCACATGGTGCTTTCTGCAAAATTTCTTTTTAAGCTGCCCACTCTGATGATTGAAGAAGTGATCAAATTTTTGTTGGTTTTACAGAGAGTAACTAACTTAGTAGCTTTGGCACTCACTTAGTATATGTACAACAGACCAAAGTTTTGAGTCCCTGCTCTAAGGAACTTTTCTTCATACAAATTAAACATCTCCAACAGTAGGGATCCCCAGCCAACAGCAGGAAATAGGCAGTTGGAGCTTTTAGCTTGATTGTGAGACCAGAGCCTCAAACCTACACATCTTATATCTGAGTCAGGGCCCTTTCTCCCCCATCAATGGGTTGCTAAATACTTTGCATGACTGTATCTCTTCTTTTTTTTTTTTTTTAATGAACCTGAAATGTCAAAAGGGCTAGCATTCACTCTAATGGACATGACATTACCTGTCCAACAAGAAAATTGTTGGGATTGAATACTTCTGAAGAGTGGTGGACAAAACATGCTCCCCACAACCACCCTTGACAGCACACACACGCAGACACAGACTACTTTTGGTGGGAACTTGAGCCTGTAGCCAATCTGCGGAGTGTGCAACAAATTCTCTTAATTTCAACAAACAAGCAAAAAAGTTACTGGTTTTGCCAATTCTTTAACGTAATTACCACTGCCAGCCAGCATCACTTCCATCTGTATTTAGTCTGAAAATCAGCCACTTGGTTTTCATCCAGCTCCCCATCTCTGCCAGACATTGAGAAAGCGGGGAAGCGGTTCATGTCCTCTGAGAAGGAGGCCCACAGCACAGCAGCCTAGAGCAGAGGTTCAGTGTCCTTTCACTGCTACACAGGCACATTGAGCAAGAGCAATTAAAAACCTGGTGTCCCACACTTGAGGGTTTTCAAGGAGAAGCAAAACCTATCTCAAAATACCAGCCTTTACATAACGAAGTCAAGGAGAGGGTCATTTTAATTAAATTCCTTTAATGAAGCAGTGCTGAGATCTCATCTCCTGCTGATCTTGTCCCAGTTGATCCTAGTGCTGTAGGATCAATGGCATCAGCATGCTGTCGGGTGTCATTGGGCTGCATACTGCTGTCCCATCCCAATTTGAAGCACAAGTGTCTGTGAGCCAAAACCGGAGAAATATTTCACGTTCAGGATTTCATTTGGCTCAGTGGCTTTTCTCAGGAAATGTTGTGGAAGGACAGATAAACAGGGATGCTGGAGGTGTTACTAAGTACCCGGTTAGACAGGCAGAAGGGGAGACATGTTGCATATGTGCGTTTCAAGTTTGTTATCTTAAATGTTCATTGGGAAGATAATTCAGGACAGTAAAAATTTTTTATACTAATACTCTCACCATTTTATAGACACACTCTGCTGGGTACAGGAGGGATGGGTCTAACTCTGGACTCCTGGAACTGGCAATCCCCGCATTGCTTAACACCCATGTGATGATGTTCTTTCTTGTCCTAAATTAAATGCAGACGGTTTTAGATGTCATTCTACTCACAGGTCACCTCCAGACTTGCTTGATATGTGAGGCTCTGCTTCCTGATTTAGTTTTGTCTGGCCACCAAAGTTAGTTCATGTCTTAACGTTTCATACTTCTAAAGAGCAGTAATGTTTCTCACCAAATCAGAACAACAGGCCCTTGTCTCTTTAGTATGATAGGCTAAGCGTCCCCATTCAAGATTCATAAAATACACTCTTCTTTTCAATACCTTATTTTAATTTTAATGATAATGCAAGCCTAGATAAAATTTGAAAGTGTCATCAAAGCTATAGTCAGACTTTAAGTCCCAGAAGGAACTTTGGCCTTTAATTATTTAGACGATTGTGGCAAAAGGGAGGATGAGTATATAAGGATTTTTTTGTTTGCCTTTTTTTGTTGTTGTTCCTTTTTTCATACTTGAAAAAAAAAAGTCGCTTTTAATCTCTGGTGCTTTATTTATTCCTGATACAGGCAGGTCTGAAGCTGGAACGTAGTAGATGTTGCACCCATTTTTACCAGGATGAATAGAGTCAATAGCTATTTTTTCATTCCATTTGAGCACAAAACAGTTCTGGTTGGCAGTCTGGCCCAATGATTTTGGTTCTACTAATCTCAGATAGGTCTAGATTTGAAACTTAATGGCGAAAATGTCAATGTTAGTTGTTGTTGGCTGATTCACTGTAGAGCATTTTTCTGTTTTGTAAAAGATTTGAGCAATTCACTTTGAGACCTGAAGTATATGCTGATTTTGTATGTTACAGTTATACTGATGTGGGATAGGATTATGTTCTTTTTGTTAATTGAGAGAAACCTGTCTTCTCCTGTATTTCTATATGTCCATATATATTTTTATACTGTTACAAAGGACCTTTATACTGATATACTACTATTAAACTGGTTTAATCTTACCAGTATGTTAAAGCACTATAGTTCCTGTATATAATTAAAACGGTATTCTTGAAGGCTTAGCCTGAATAGTGGATGCATTTACAAGCTCCCTGTACAGGTAGCTGCTTGCCCTCCTGACCTGTAATGAGACCCATGCATGTGCCTGTACCCCTTGACTCTGGTGCCCTGCAGCGTTTGTGAGAAAGAAACCTCATGAAGGGGTCTGAAACATGAGAGAGCTGTGGCATGGTCCAGCTAGGCTCCCCAGCCTCAGGATTAGGTTACTGGAACCTCCGATGGCCCACTGCACCATCTAGAAGTAGCCAAAGGTGCCTGACTTCCAGTTGCTTTCAGTGGAAGTCAAGATCTTAATTAGATCTGTTCCCAAGTGATTTTCTAAGATTCTGTGTGGTATATCTTGCATGATCCAACTGGAAACAGGATTCAGATACCATGGGCTACAATTACCTGGCACGTCTCCACTATTATTTTATTGTTTGAATGTCGTTATTATTATTATTATTAAGCAGTCCAGGACTTCATTGGAATTATTATATATTTAAAGGGACTTCAGATTGTTTTTCTTTTTAACAGCTTAATACTTAATTCTTTTTGTACTAAATAAATATCAGATGTTCAGTAAATATTAATTTTTTTGTTGTTGTTGCAGAATTTATTCCCCAGGCTTTTGGAATGCCCTTGTCCCAAGTGATTGCTAATGACCGGGCCTACAAGCTCAAGCAAGACTCTCAGAGAGAAGAGCAAAAAGATGTTTCAGATTTTGTGGCCTTTCTCTTGCCGTTCGGAGCTAAAAGGCAGAACAAAGAACTTTCAAGCAGTAACTCATCTCTTAGCTCAACCTCAGAAACACCGAACGAATCCACTTCTCCTAACACACCCGAGCCAGCACCACGAGCAAGGAGGCGTGTAAGTAGACCCATCACAATGTGGTGCATGCCAGTAGATGGAGCAGGAAAAAAACCCGTTGTGTCTGTCTGTGGATTGTGGAATATTTCTTCTGTCATGTTTGAACAGTGATTTTTCATTTCAGGTGGAAGCTGACCTGGTCAATACCAGAAAATTCTAACTGTAGTGGAAATCTTTCTCTGGTGCTGGTGGGAAAAGATCATATGGACTGTGCAAGTCTGTTACAGATCACAAAGTGGCAGGAAATTATTTAGAAGTCTTCCTGTTCACTCCCTTTATCTACTTCCTCCTGTCTAGGTCTTTCAGATTTAACAAATTCCATCCATCTTCAACCTAATTTTTTCAGCTGGGGAAACTAAACCTATGTGATTGATATTTATATGGATACTTACGTTAATCTAGCTCCACAAACTTGGAAATAAATCTAACTATTAACCCCTATCCTAATATTAATAAAAATCCCTATGGTCCAATTCTGATCATGTCCTCGGTGGTAAGGAAGAAGTTGTCAGAGTAAATTTGTACCAGGCTCTTTGAAGGACATTTCTGCATACAGGCTATGAAGATGCCTTTGGCAGCAGAACACTGGGTTGAATGTTAATCCTGCATATAAGATAGGTACCTGGTAGACCATTTGTTTGCAGGATTCTGTTCCTTGTAAGTAAATTTTATGCTCTGAGCTTTCCAGTTTTCCAGTACTGCAGCTAGTAACAGTAGTAGATTATACTTTTTTTTTTTGTTACCATGGGATAGAGGTTCTAGAATTACTGCTTTTTAATTTCATTTGCAATGGAAGAAGAAAAAATTCATAATAAAATACTTTCAATAAAAACCCCTGTTAAGTAATCTGACAAAGAATTTGGGGTACAAGAACAGACCCTGGAAAACAAAATATTTTCTTAGGATCCTCACCTTCTTTCATCCCTAGGCTAAAACCTGCTTCAGAGAAATGCTATGTAGGGCTCTTCAAGCCACGGTGTTAAGAGGGGTAGAACTGGAATAAATTGCAAATCAAGGGAAGATTGAAGAGCCCCATGACGTGCCTTCTTTCCCTCTAGCTGTCAGCTGAAGCTTGAAGTGTACATTCTGTCTGCAGATAACTGAGGGCATGATATTTGAAGATGTTTTCATTCTTATATACGAATAATGCACATCTGTTGGCCTGTCCAGACCATATGAACAGGCAGCTGTGTTCACACAAAAGTGCAAAGTACACTTGAGTATAAGTGTGAAGGGAAACCCATCAACTTCTTTCAGAATTTGGCATAGGCAGTGACAAAAAATAGAAATGCCCTGTGTACGCCCATTGGCTTCAGAAGCTGTTTTCATATGAGGGAAAGATAATTCATGTGTCCAGATATGGGTCATCTGCTGTCCTTTTCACTAAATGAGGTAAGGTTTCTGACATGCATTTCACCAGCCATCGAGCAGAAGGAACCTGGATCCTTTGTTACATCAAAGGCATAGAACTCCATCAGGACCAAGTTTGTAGAAGCCTGTGGGGGTTTTGCTTGTTTGGCTTGGTTTTTTGTTGATATCAGGATTGCAGCTTTCAGGGTGTTGAATTTGAGCCTTTAGTCCATAGTCATGAGGATGCAGTAGCACATGGTTCACCTACAGAGAAGTAAGAGTAGACCAAGGTGAGCAGTGTGATGTTGAGGGAGCTGGCATTTTCTCTTGGGAATGAACCTCAGTTATTCAGTAATGTACTTCATGAATTGTCAATTATTTAACATTCATATGAACTCATGTCCCATATCTTGTCTGTCTTTGACCTTTATACTTCTGCTTATCAGTGTACTTACTCTACTCCCCTGAGACTTTTTAGGGGATGGTAAGGAAGCTTGGACTTCTCTTTTATCTCTTGGGCAGTGTTGCACTGTTCATTTTCAAATGTATCAAGGCAAATGCTTAAAAAAAAAAAAAAATCATTAGTACATTCAACTGATACAACCAGTTTTTCACACAAATGCTGCACAGACACCTGGAGTGCAGTCCTCTTAAACTTAAATTGGAGGGATTGTTTATCACTGTACCATTCACTTCTTTCCAACTGTGTCATTCACTTTTGTGTATCCCAGTGAGTCTTCAAAAACTCAGCTGAGGCTTTCAGTAAGGGATATAAGGTAATGCTGACTGCAGAGTTCATAGTATGAGTGCTGTGGTTATCTCTCATCCAAGAGCTAGACAGAAATCACTGTTGCTGCATTTTCTGTGTAGGATTTTTGTCCAGCAGTTGGAAGTTGAGACCCTGGTCATCCAGCAAGGCAATTTCTGTGTGCTTATTGTAGAGAATATTCCAACTTTCTGTTAATATCTTTATATATATATATATATATAATGCAGCCAAAATGTATTCGAGGATCAGGATCTCAGTCATACTGCTTTTCTACTCAAATAGCATAATGTATGGAGTGAAAATGGATCTGCCATGGATAGTACTTGATCCCATGCATACCCTGTAATATTGCTCATCTTTTCAAATGAGAAAAGCCTTCTATAACCCTTAAAAAGTAAAGAAAAGCTTCATTTGACCTTCATTCCACACCTGTCCCTCTGGCCTTCATTTTCTTTTTGCTCTTTCCATCTCCTCTTTAATCTCTACTTTCCTTCATGTTTCTGTGTGCTTAGCTTAAGACTTGCCTAGTTTATTTAGATTTTGAGCTTGTCATGGTGGAGCAGGGACTGGTATCCATTATGTGCAAAGGTAATGCCTAGTAGATGGAACGTGATTTCTCTTCGGTTGCTGGGCACTGCAGTCCTAGTAGCACTGTGTCTGTTAATAGTCCTGGAGTAGTGGGCAGCAACGTGCATGATCTCCTGCATCATTCCTCAGCAGTCATATAGGTCTGGCTGAGCCCAAACTAATAGGTCTGGCTGAGTTTGAGCGGGATCCATGGAGTATGTTGGTAGTGTTTTCCTGTGCACTTGGAAATTTAAAATCAGAGGTGGCCTGGACTTGGTATTGCCAAGCAGTGCTGTACTTAGCCACTGAACTCAAGGTCACTCTTCTTAAAGCCAGCTCAATGCCCCAGTTAATCCACAACTTTGATAAAATGCCCAAGGATAATGGTGAACTGACTGTATTTACATCTATTTTAGGGATCTGAATCCGACTTAAGTGACTCGCTGATAATAATGATTCATGAGGTGAGGATGCTTTGCAGACAGGGAGGGAGCAGTAAAGGCAGGGTATAAAGGAGGGCACCTGTCACACAGGAACTGCCTGGGAGCTGCAGCGGTGAGGATGATGTTAGGATTTTCAGTGTCAGTTGACTAATGTTGATGTCTGAAACCCCAAACTCTTAAAAACAAAAGAAAAAAAAAAAGAAAAATTGTTCAGTTGGAATTTTACACACATGTATCATAGCCAGAGATTCTTGTTTGGTTTGGGGGTTTTTTTTTGTTTCCTTTTGGCAGGAAATGGTGAAGGGAATCAAGCAAATGTACTTCTGAGAGACATCAGAAATCAAGGTCAAAGTTGCATTCTAAAGGGTCCAGTAATTGTTTAGAGATGTGGGTCCAAAAAAATCTCAAAACTTCACTGTGTTTTATTTATAAGTCTTCCATGAGTTGTAAGAAATGGAACTATACCTGATAAGTTAGATGCTTTTTTTTGTTTTAAGATATTCTGAACTAAAAATTTTTAAATGAATTTGAAATCTCAATGGACTTTGTGTGAGTTGCCTGTGAGTTGGAAATCTTTGTAAAGGTCGGTTGTCTAGGCTGATGGAAGAAAATACTTCCAGAGCTTGAAATTCCCTAGCAGTTCTACAGTTCTCATTTAATAGATGTAGAGATCTCACCAGCAGTGTATGAAATACCTGTCAGCAGAACAGCATGCTTTTAAGAAATTAAGAGCTGTCAGTTTTGAATGGGAATTTACATTTTCTTTATTATATCTTAGGATGACATGCTGGATCCCTGTACAATACATTTTATGTTACGGTAAAATGTATCCTTTTTTTCAGAAAGAAATAAAATCATTCACAATAGATATTTTTAATGAGAATTATCTAAAAATATTACCCTTGTACTTCTCTGGTGTGTCTTTGTTCTGTGATAACATGGGATTATTTCAGTCTCTGCAGTTGTATGTTTTTGTGTTATTAGTTAACTGTATGTGGTGTATGGTTGTAAATCTATTTGCATCATTTTCACTGATACAAAGGCCCAAGCTGCAGAAGTAGGGAATCAGGTTTAAAAATGTGTATATATCTCCATGCGCATAAATATTGTACTGCTGAGGTGCACGCACAGACCATGATTCATCCTTGTCCTGCAGTATGTGCAGGCTTACAACAATAAAAAGGTGGGCTGAGTGAGTAGAAAGCATTTATTTTTCTCAATTTCTAATTTGTATTCCTTGTAGTATGGTAATAATAGCATTGGTACCATTGTTATTTTCCCATCCATTACACTGGTATTATAACTTGATTAATTTACAAAACCTGTGTAGCAAATTGTATTTTTATATTAGTTTGTTTAAAATGCAGGTAGGCAAAAGTCTTTGTTAGATAAGGTCCTGTGGCATTTAGATTTCTCCAGCCATACTGATTGTTCATGTGTGTGTATTTTACAGGGCGCGATGTCTGTGGACTCTATTACAGATCTTGATGACAATCAGTCACGACTGTTAGAGGCTCTCCAGCTCTCTTTGCCAGCAGAAGCCCAGAGCAAGAAAGAAAAAGCAAGAGATAAGAAGCTAAGCCTGAACCCTATTTACAGGCAGGTTCCCCGGCTTGTAGATAGTTGCTGCCAGCACTTGGAAAAGCATGGTAAGAGTATTTTGTTTTCCCAGGAGTAGCAGATATATTTTTACTATAATATAAATAAATGCGTATTTTGAGAAGCAGGCATATACTTCCAATTGCAAGGACATCTTTGAAAGCCAGACACTTTCCATCCTATTTTGCCTCTTGCTAAAGATACTGTCTCACAAATAATTACTTAGATGATATCTTCTCAAACTAAGGATCTATGCTACACGTTTGCAAACTGGCCCATACAGCATGGGGAAAGAGACATTTCTTGGAGGTTGTTCATCTCGTACTGGAGTGCTCAGCTCTGCAGGAGCAGCTCTTCACACCCCACGGGTTTACCCATACCTTGAGAATGAAAGTCTGAAATGTGCCAGTCAGCCTGGAGTCATTCTTTGCAAGCAGTGGACCTTAAGGTGTAAGAGCTAAAATAACTGTTTATAGTACAGTGCAAGACTTAACTAGAAAGAGCATTTGAAGATAGAGGCTCAGAGAAAGAAAAAAATCCCATGCTAAATTATATTAAGCTCCAAGAAGCTTTTTCCCGTTCACTACGAAGTTTGCAGGCTGACTACTCAGTTTGTCCCTGGCTTGAGTCCTCCTGACCAGCCTCAGGCTCAGGCCTGCTCTCTCTGAAGCGAATTATAAACTCCTGCCAATATTCTTCTCATGTCTTCATGATCGTCCAGACACGAACCTCCCACCAGCTTTATGTAATGCAGAAACAATAGTTAATCAAGGTATCTGTTCAACATCTCTCCCAATGTATCTTAGTCTTGTAAAGATTTTTAATGAGAATTGAAACAACTTGGCCACAGCAAGATGGAGTTATCTCACGGCCAGATAATAAACAAACCATTAAGTAATGGTGACTGCAACACCAAATGATGCATTTGATGCCTAATTTGACCAGAAAGAAATAATTTACTGACTCTGAATGAAAGGCTTTTGCAGATGAGGGACTGCAATTTAAACAACAATACGAAGCTTTTACAATACATAATTGAAAACCATGTTGCTTACATATATATAAAGGAAAACTGCGAAAGAGAGTCATTGTTAGCCTTTTACAGAGATTAGATACCATGGCTGACAAAAAAGTGTGGGGATGATTAATTTTGAGATGAATGACTTCTGTCCCTTTAAGCAAGGATAGCTGAGTTTGGAGAACACAAAAGATACTGAGTTAGCCAAAAAAGCCATCCAGCTGAATGTCCTTTGGATACTGTGATTTTATGTCACTTGAACATCTGTGATAAATTTTTTAATCCACTTAGCCCACTATCATAACAAAGATTTTTTTCTATACAACGTTCTTTACTAAAATATTTGCTTTACATTAAAGTTTCCTTTTGAAGAACATTTATGGTGGTTTTGTGTGCATTTTCAAAGAGTGCACTGTAGTATCTCACAACACAATAATATGAGATAATTTGGGGCAAATACTGATGTTCTTAGATTTTCAGTTTTAATCCTCCATCCACAAAACAGTCATCAGGATTGGTTGACTTTGAGGAATTTAAAGATTTCAGAAGACAGACACTACTGTTTGCTCGTTGGCTTTAGGGATAATAGAGGACTTTCTATTCTAGCAACAGTCATGTAGCAACATCATTCCAGGCTATATGATGGACCAAGTTTCTGATTCTGAAAATGCTTGCCTGTATGCATAAGTCCTTTAGGCCAATTTTTCAGCAGCAAATCACTTAGGGTTTTCTCACAAATGCTTTAAATTATTATTTTGAATGTTATATGACAAAAAAAGGTTATGATTCTATCCATAAAAGCCCTTGGCCTTGTTCACCTTCCCTGTTTTCCCTGGGATCATGTCCCAGAGTTGTAAAGGCTTGACGTCCTGCAGACCCGCAGTGTCAAGCAAATACTGTATGTTTGTGTGGGAACTGGTAACGAGCCTCCAGTTTTTGCCCAGTATGAGTATCTCCATCTCAGATGATTCTCTGCCGATATTCCTGGATTTACTAAATGTTATTCCACCAGTGTAATTTTCTGTTAACCAAAGACAGAAGAATTTGTTTTGCAAGGTTATTTTACACCTCCTGGATGTCAGTAGAGAAAATGAATGTTGCAGAGTAGCCTTTGTTAGACCACAAACTTTTCAAAGCTCATAGATAATTTCATCCTTTTTGCAAAAAATGTCTGTGTAAAATGATATTATGTACACAGCTGCTTAAGTTTCTAGGATTTCCACTCACATTCTCATTGCTAAAGACCATGTCACCTCTAAGGTGGTATTTACTCTCAAATATTTCAGTTTCTGTTACTCTGCGAAGTATGTCCGTTCAACAACCACGTTATTGTTTGTTTGATGTTCTGGTAGTATCTACAGGGCTAGAAGAAGATTTCAACTGACTTCTTATGGAATAGCAGGCAACACCCATTCCCAAATCACTTTAAGTCTGAATGACACAAGAGGCATACTGTCTGCACTTTGCCTTAAGTACAACAGTACTTCTTTATAGCTTTCCTTCTATATTGTAGCTGTTCCTACCCTATAAACTGCACACAACTCCCAGGTAGAGTTCTCCCCTCTCGTAATCTGCCTGAGTGCCCTACTTGTGTCCCTTTGAGGAAACTCTCAGCTTTGTCATGACAGGCACTATAGAGCCGGCAGGTAACCCCAAACACCAGCTGCTTCGTGTATGCAAAGACACAGCTCAGTGCCCAAGTATTTAGTTATTTTATTGCCTGTTTCCTTTGATGTCAGTCCTGGAAGTGCCACCTCAAAATGCTGAGCAGTGCCTCACTCTCTGCATACCTCTGTCCCTCATGGAGTAACAGTGGCACTACCAAAATGGCATCACAAGCAATATCACAGAGATGCCATTTTGCAGGTGAGGTGATGTGAGGTCCTTAAAAACTACAGTGGATGGCTTCTTAATCCACGACAACTGAGTTTTGCCTCAGTGTGGTAAGTACAAGTTAGTAGAGAAATACATTGTGGTTTTTTTTATTCTTTGAAGTACACGCATAGCCCAGATTGCTTTGACTCAATGCAGTTTTCAGCAGAAAATTAAACAATAAAATAGTTGTCTGATGTGCTACATTTGCAGGTCTCCAGACAGTAGGAATATTCAGAGTTGGAAGCTCAAAAAAGAGAGTAAGACAGGTGAGTGGATATGGATACGCTTTTCCCTCATCAGCTATGATACAAACAAACCTGATTTCTTTCTGTTAAGTGATTTCGTCCCTGTCCGTCACCTGGTGAAATTCAGGCTTTCTGGGTCAGTGACATTATTGGTTTTTTGATGGCTCATAACAGGCCATTTCCAGTCATCTTTTTCAGTTGGTGAAATCCTTGTCAGGTTCTCATCAGGTTAACAGTCTCTGTTTTTCTCTGCAGAAGTAGCACGGGGTTGGGGATCCAAATAGACTACAGTGATGAAATTTTCCAAAGGTTACACTGTAAGGGAAAAAAAAATCTTGGCTGCTAGTTTCATCTCAGAAACAGTTGAAGCTCCCAAAGTAAACCCAAACTGTAAATCTTTTTTGGAAAACTCACAGTATGAGAAAATATGCAAGTACAGAACCATCTTGTTGACCCTCAAATCACTGCTCCCAAATATCACCTTTCTTTTACCCCTGAAAAACTTGAAGGCCAGAGCAGACCCATCCAAGTCCTAGTCTCAGCCAAATGTTGAAAAAGCAAAGATAGTATACAGTTAGGTTCCAGAGACAAAGTCAGAAGTGGGTGTTTCCTCAGCCCTAGATGTTGCATTGTTATTCCCAGAAGTTGGGAATACATGTTGAATTAGAGCAGTAGAGAATAGTGTTTAATGGTTGCATGATGCTTAGGGAGGGAATAAAATGTTACAGGAAAATACCCCTGCCAGGAAGTAAAAGACCAAAAAGATCAAACAGGAAAAAGCGAAAGAAAGCTTGACTGCATCTGATCCCAGAAATAATAGTTCTTTGTTGCAAAAACTACACAGTATAATGTTTGGCACTCTGGAAAGTTACCTTGAATAGCTAAACTGACTTGATTCTGGCTGGTAGGACAGTATAGCCTACTGATTTGTAGCTTATTCTCTAGCAGTTTCTATTGCTGAGTGACTGGTGTAACACAAAGCTAAAAACATTCATGGTCTGCAGAGGCAGATCAACACTGAACTAGATAAAGTATTGAAAAGTAAGTTGCCTGTCATTTACATTACAAGCTTCAATGTCAAAACATATATTATCATTCAGCATACAATTGCATCATACCTCTGGGGAAAAAGCAGAGGGCTTGTATAATGTACTTGTAAACTAAGCCTTACTTTGAACATCAATGACTTTCACCAATTTTTCTTTTACTGTGTTTTCAAAAGCTGAGAAAATCAAGAGATTTGGGTATTTATGTATTCTATTACATGGACTAATTTATTGAATTAGGTAAACTAATATATTTCATTAAACAACATGGAAGCATCAGTTTGGCCCTTGCAGTTACAATAATAAATGCTGTCAACATGAACACATGGGAAAGTCTGGATTCAATTAAAATTCCACTCATTTTCTGAACCATGGAAAGCCAAACCCAGTACTCAGATTTTGGTGTGCTTTTGCAGCTGTTCATTAGTTTTTCTTGTGTAGAAAGTAGGCATAGTTTTGTTTCCCTTCCTCCCCCAGTTAGAAAATGTCCTATTTCAACTGTAGTTTGTTGCAGAAAATACATAAGTAAGTAAATGCATGTGCCAGCGGGGTTTTTGGTTGGTTAGCAGGAAGAGAAAATCTAGAACAAGTGTGTCTATTACAAACCACCTCCTTCACATTCAGTGGGGTGTAGGACAAAGATTCCTGAGCTAGTGTTGACTCAAGGTGGTAGGTCTGGTACATCGGGATGCCAGCTTGTGCCCAGAAGCTATACAGGTGTTTGAGCAGAGCATCGTTGCCGAGTTTAGGGTGGGCAGCCCTCTGTACTAGGCCTGGTGACCTGGTGGCAGGACTGCAGGTGAAGCAACCTCCAAACCCTGAGGTTGAAGAGCGACATGGCTGAAGCTCTGCTTTCCCATCCTCTCTCCCAGCATGGATGTCCTCAGCTCTCACGTCTTCAGCTCCGGTGAATGCTGTAGTTCACCAGGTGTATTTTCCAAAAGTCTGAAAGTATTCCCTGTGAATGAAGTCTGAGAGACCTAAAGTTTAAACTTAAAAATATAGTTTTTAACAGCAGTGATACCTGGGCCTGAAATGTGGCCATGTTTCACCAATGATTATCTGATACTACCTAATTAGGACATCTCTGTAGGCCTCACAGGATACCAGATAAGAAGTGCCATATTCAAGACTGTAACAGCAATTTATGATTTAGACATCAATTTGGGACGTCCAAATTCCTGATGCAGTGCTAATCTGTTTCCTGAGCTGCTTTTGGGCAGTAAGTGCAGAAGCAGTCTTCTAGGTGGAGGTAATTTATGGTGCTCCACAGGGATGGTCCGCATTTGCCACCAGTCTGAAGAGTAGAATTGAGCTGGGAATGAAATCCCCAACTTGGCACTGGAAAATCTTTAACCACAAATCAGCAGGGGAAAGCATAATACTAGATAAAGAACAAATTCTGGTCTTTGTAGCATAATTATTCATTATTAGTAATGAGTGATATTAATAATGTTAAAAATAGTCTTAATAAATTAGAAAGGAGGCTGTAGTTTTTATAGAATACCTTTTACACCTATTATGAAAGCACAATTTCAGCTGAAAATATGGGATTTTCTACATTCCTCCATACTATACACACTCAAGATAGATTTGCCTGCGATCAAGATTTGCCACAGATTATCACAGACACATAGTTTGCTTGTGACTTACCTTCTTTCTTCTTTTTGATATGTCTGTAGTAATCCTGGTAGAGAAAGCTGATACCTCAAATTTCCTCTTGTTTAGTAAGATTTAGATATCATTACTCTCTGGGAAGTTATATGTGAGATCATGATACCTCATAATATTAGCAAAGATACAAATTCTTCCCAGGAAATAGTTTTAAAACATCTTAACTATTTTCAAAATAAAAAGACAGTAAAAGGTGGAGCTCCCAGCCTGAAGAAGGTATGCTGCTCTTGGTGCTGGGAAATCTCTCCAGAAAGGCAGGCTTTTATCTTTTCACAAGGCATACTGGATGTGGGAGAGGGATTTCTTCTGCCTTTGGGAAGTGTGATGCCTTTGAATTATACAGAATTTGTCTGAGGACTGTAGCTGGAAAAAAATTGCGATGCCTCGTAATGGTATTAGCTTGCTGTTTGTTAACTCCCTAATGACGATCACTTAGTGAATATAACTAAATTAGGGAGGCAGAACAAGATGTGTGTGGACAAATGCCATGAAGTCTCAGTGAACCTGGCTGCTTACTGCTTATGCTTAAATACGGTCTTAAATCACAAGAGAAATGTGAGTTTGGTGGATATTAATATTGTCTTATTATTAATGGTTTTGTACAAAAACATAAATGTTATGAAATGCAATTTTAGTCTTTCTGGTCCTAAAATCTAGGGATAATGCAGTAAGGTGGTACAAGAAAGCCTTGCAGTTTTCCTTGTTCTCCCTGGTTTCTGCCTTTGATATTAATCTTACAATTCTGCAAAAATTATATTTACTTGGGCACATTTTTTCATAAAAGAGTGCCATACATTAGCTGGAAAGAAAGAATCATATTTTACTACAGTCTGGTACAAACCTTAAGTTTATGTATCATGGAATAAGCAGCAATTAGACATGAATTATATCTTTGACCTTACCAAAAACTAGTCCTGTCCAATCTGAAAAGTGAAAACGAGTAAATCTATGTATTAAAAGGTTTTCTGTGTTGGGATGTACTAATTGGGACAATAAGTGACTGTGGTTTTGTGTCATGATCTTTTTCAGTTACGTGAAGAGTTTGACCGGGGCATAGATGTTGTATTAGATGAAGAGCACAGCATTCATGATGTTGCTGCTTTGTTAAAGGAATTTCTGCGTGACATGCCTGACCCGCTTCTCACCAGAGAACTTTATACACCTTTCATCAACACTCTCTGTGAGCTCTACAGCATCTTCATTTATCGATTTTCAAAAGCTTACTTGTTTGTATTCTTTGATCCCTGCTAACCATATTCTTTTTTTCTGTGCATTTAATACTCTAGCCTTGATTTTCTCCAAATATTTGTATAGTATAAATTTGCTGAGGTCTTTCCTTTGTTTTCATAGTGTCTAAGTAGAGCCCAGAAAACTAGAACAATAAAAATTTTGCTTATTATACCTATTTTTGTGTTAGTATATAGGATGTGATTTATGTTATCTATTAAATCCTGACCCTGTCGTTGGTTAAGCAGTAGCAGATGACAGACTCCCATTTGAATCCTGGTATCTTAGCACCATTAATGCTTTTAATTTTTAGAGTTGTTCACTGACCAAAATTGCAGTCTGGCTTCAAAAACTTAGCTTCAAAAGTTCAAGTTTCATCATATTTAATGGTCCTCAAAGCCATCATGTTAAGTAATCCCAAATGTGTTGCCTAAGACCTGAGTGCAGACTCTCACAGATTTGGGAAAAAGTAAAGTTGGACCCTTCAAGCTTAAGCTGCTGCTTGGTATGTGTTTTTCAGATTCTTTCTAGCCCTCATGTCTGAGATCCTGCCTCTCTCCCACCTTTGTCACTGGCCACTGTTGCATTTTAGATGGTTAAAGTGATGGTGGTCCTTTATATTTCTAACTGCTTTTTCAGTCTCCCGGTATCTCTGCAAGGTGTGAAATTGTAAGAAAACCCATTTAAAATGGCTAAAGCATGAGCCTGACTGGCATGCTTCCCAATGGTGCCCTGTATATACCAGTAGCTATACCTAAATGAACGGAGCAAGTAGAAAATTAAGCAGAATTTTTGTGTCCAGTGACAGTGATGGAGTGTGCAACATGGATTTGGCTCTCTTATAGGCTGAGAAAAGATCCTATGAACCTGTGAGCAAAAAGTTGACCAAGCAAGGCAAAAATCCCGTAACAGTATTTGTTACACTTCTGATATTTCCTTAGAGTTTTCTCATTTTTTTCTGACATTATAAAGAAAATGATCCTTACACAAAGCTATTCTTATGCCTTCTTTTGGGCTGGGAACAGTATATTTGTTCTGCTTTTAGGTTAGTTGGAGTGATTTTCTTAGAATGTATTTTTTCCTCTCTCAGTATTAGAGCCAGATGAACAGCTAAGCACCTTACAGCTTCTCATTTATCTTCTACCTCCCTGTAACTGCGATACCCTACACCGGCTGCTGCAGTTCCTGTCCACAGTGGCTGGCCACGCAGAAGACACCACAGACAAAGATGGCCAAGAGGTAAGTCCTGGTCACTTGTGTCCTTTGACTTTGCTTAATTCATGATCTGAAAAGAGATCTTTAAAGCTGTGAAACAAACACGGTGGTGGCATACCCCTGAAAGATGAGACAGGTTTCATATTCTTGCCTGCACATTTGCCATTTAGTTGTTTACTATGTTCTGAGGGCTGTGAAAGTTTAATTTTTATATGACTTAATCAGTGAAGCATTTACCACTTCCTTTGGGAGATTCACGGAGTAACCAACCTTGTTGTTAAGAACATCTAATGTTATCCATCCTTTTTCCCCCCCTTGTTTTATCCTATTATATTCTATGGAAAAAATACTCACATAGAAAAGTGTCAGGCATTCAAGGGTATGCTTTTTCATTCTCTGTTGTTGCGTTCTTATATGACCTTTGGACATAGCAGTTCACTTCTTGGTTCCCTTAGCTTCCTTGTGTGCCCTGGGTAGTGAAGAATAGAAAATAAAGGACAGGAACTCCAGCTGTGTCCTTGCAACTGACAGAGCTAATCACTAGTTGGAGTCAGGGTCCATCTTTGCCTGGTTTCCCTCTGGCCTCCTTACTGTTGCATTCTGGACCAAATTCAGTGGAGAGGTTGGAGTGCACCCACCCCACAGAGACAAGAACACCCATAGCCGTGTGGCTGAGCTGTACTTCTGAGCGTTCACATGTGTGCATCTGCGCCGTTCACCCTAGAGAAGATCTGAAAATCCAGGCTTCCCATTTTCTACCAGGAAAATGCTTGAACTAGTGGGCTGCTCTGCAAAAGGTGGCAACTCTGTTAACGTTGAATGAGATGGATGCAGCCTGTCACTGCTTGACAAAATTGTACCAGTTTATCTGTGGGAAGGACCTCTCTGTCCTCTGAACTGCAGCAGAGACTACTTCTGAGGTTACTTCTGAGACTCTTCTGAAACTCCTAGAGAATTTTGTCTTCCAGATGGAAAACCCTGCTGACTTCTGTCAAATTTGAACACCTTTTGCAGTTGGCTGGTTTTAACAATTGGCACTTACAGATGGAGTTTTGCCGAATTTCTGCCTCAAGTCCTAACTTTCAATGTGCTGTATGTGACTTCAAGGCCTATTTAACTTTTAAATCCACTTTAATTGCTGTTGTTTTTGTCCTCAGCAAGGAGTTGAGATACTAGGCTTAAAAACATGTATAAGCCACCTAAGGTTGTGGTCCCCCTGGTCCTGCCAATTCTCTGTTGCTTCAGGAATGTACCCAAGAGGATCTTATTGCGGGGCTACAGGATGCTGCTTAAGAGAGTAGGTTTGGCCCAACAGTTGTATTAAAGGCATTTTCATTCCCCTTAGCAGTACATCAGCTCTGCTACAGGTATTTTGGCAAGGCAAATTTAGGTAAGCTATCTTGGCAGTATTGTAAGCATCAGGACTATTATGTGCAGCTGGATACCTTTTATAGATAATACAGTATTCTGCTCACAATTATTTAGGCTATTCATGAATAATTAAGTGAATAAAGACCTACAGAGCAAGAAAAAGTATTTTATCAGACTGCTATCACTGGAAGGAAAACAGCCAAGCTTTGGCACATGGGCCCTCTTCACGATTTCTTTCAAAAGCCCTTCTCTCAGGAAGATGAAAATGGGTGACTCACTTCATTAAAATTACTCATTCAGTTCATTTCAGTGGGTATGTTTACAACGTCTTTTAAGGGATGCCCCAAGGCTGCCCTTAAGAAAAGACTCACTGTTTGTACAAACAGCCTGCACATGCAGATCCAGGCACAGACAGAGGCTGCCCCTGGCACGCTCGAGGCACCGCATGCCCGTACATCCTTGGTGGTTCAGTACTCTGACACTGTTTAAAAAGCAGGTCACCCGAAAAACAGCCGGGTGCATGGTGGTGTGCAAATAAGGGAGTGTGCTGTACGTGCAGTCATGCTGGGATGAGTCTCTAAACAAAAAGCCAACATGTTTGTTAAGACTGCCCATGCACCTACTTAGTGCAGATGTCTTTCCAAGATTACATAGTGGTCCCACTGATAAAAGGAGAAGCTCTTTTTGCTGTCATCTCTATGCTGTCTAGTTGAGATCTGTAAAAAAATAAACCAGATGCAGTTGGTGCACAGTTGTAAGTTTGACTAGAGTATTCAGTAAATGACCAGCTACAAAAAAAAAAATTAAAATATTACTTTGAAAAGATTTGTTTTGTACCACTTATTTCTTGAAATGCTGTTTTTATTGCCTCTTTTTGGTGCTTCTTCCTGTCCTTTCTTTAAATCAGTTAGTTCAAATGTAACTGAAACAAATGAAAAATAACTCTCATGATATTTTTTTGTTCTTTAAAAAAAGCCTGCAAGAAATACTGAGTCAACAGCTGAAATTCACTTACAGTCTTATATAGTCAAACTGCTGGCATCTTCTTCTGCATTCCCAGAATAGCAACCAAGTGGAGACACAGAGAGGAAGCACATGACCCCTGCTTTTTGCTCCGTCAAAAGAATAGAAAGGAAAAAAAGTAGTCTAATCGCAAATATGATAATGAAAATTTTGATTTAATAACCTATATGACATATTTTTGCACTAATTTCTGTTTAGTCTAGTATGTGTTCCTAGCCTTCCACTTCCTCCAAAATCAGGTTACTATTGCTTTTTGAGCACAAAGTTATAAAAGTCAGAAAAAAGTAAAAAAACCAACAACAAAAAACAGAAAAATCCACCCAACAAGTAAATGTTTGGCATGTTCTAGGAAGCAAGCAAAAAGACAGGAAAATACTAATAAAAATAATGAGCATGCTCCTTAATTATCTAAACTGTTTAAACATGGAAAAGTGTGTTTTTCCTCACTGTATCTGTTTCAAATCATGAGTGCTACTTGAGAAAGCTAACAGTTTTCAGTATTTGGTCCTAAGAGACAGTAATATGCTGAGATGGTGAAGTAGGAAGGAGGTTTCCCTGGGTTCAGAAGTATGCCACTGCCGAGCTTCCAGGGAATTAAGGGCAGGCCAGCACTTCCACCTTCTACTCCTCCAATCCGTTTGAAAATATATCCAGAAAATCCACAGTGCTTGTTGCAGAGATGTCCAAACAAGGTGTTTCAACATTTCTAAAAATTGTTCACTTTTTATTTGACTAGCGCTCGCTTTTGGTTTTGATGAATGAAGCGTCTGCTTCAAATCAGGAGAAAGAGAGTGTGTGTGTGTGTGTGTGTAGGGGTGTATGTGTAGATGTGTGTATATACGTATCTGCATACGTCAGAACCTGGGAGACCCCACCTCATTTATATTCTGTTTTCTAGATTACTGGGAACAAAATGACATCACTTAACCTGGCTACCATCTTTGGGCCTAACTTGTTGCACAAGCAGAAATCCACAGACAAAGAATTCTCAGTTCAGAGCTCAGCTCGAGCTGAAGAGAGTACTGCTATTATAGCTGTCGTACAAAAGATGATTGAAAACTATGAAGCCCTTTTCATGGTAGGTGGATGTTTCTTCACATTACCTCTATGCATTTTTAAGTTAAATGAGGAAATAGCTGGTTGGTGTTAAAGTAGACTAGGATGAAATAAACTGTGGAAACTGCATTAAATTAGGGTCAATTATTATTGGTAGAAAAAGTAGTCTTCTATCAAGGAGAACACTTTGCAGTAAGCAACACTATTAAAAATGTGTACTTATATCTGGCCTGGAATGGTTTCAATGTAGATAAGAGTATCTTCTTTAGAAGATTACTGTCTGTGGAAATGATTGGGTTGGCTATTCAGTTGTATACTAAACAACGCACCAGCATTGCTCATTAGTTTTGAAGACAAGACTGAAAATGACCTTTCATCTTTCAGTTTTGAAAGTCAGGGAGCCAATTTTTCTGCAGATCCTTGGTTAATTTAAGGAACAGCCGCCCCTACCAAAGGCTTTCTTGTTGGATGGGGAGGAAGGACAAAGCTTTCTCATTTGTCAGTTGGATAAGAGGAGTAAAGCATAAATCTGTGTAGTTCCTGAGTTCCTTTCTGTTCTCTTGCTGAAGCGAGGAAGTTCTTCATGAAAGGGATGATGACCTTGGACTTGGACATGTTGCTTACTTATGATGCAGCTTAGTTAAATCACATTCCTCATGCCTAGCAGTTAGCTGGACAGTTCATTCTGTGACTTTGCCTTTTCCTCTTTCTGTCTACAGAATTGTAAGTCAGCTCAGTATGACTTGTGCCTGAGAGCGCCCTCCACTGGAGTAGCAGAGGCCAGTCAGACCTAGTGGTGGGCACTATCCTGTCTTCATTTTAGTAGGCATACATGTCTTAACAAAACCAGTAGTCTTGAAAAGGTGAAAATAGCTTTGGTTGTTGTGTCTTGAAACTAAACAGTACTGTATGTTACACTGAGGAGACTGGTTTCCAAAGCAAGAGGGAGAACACTCTGGAAACCTCCTTTAATGCTCCAGCAAAGCTGGGTGCTAGGTACCTTGATGGGAGAAGATGGGCAAGCCTGGACTGTGGGCATGTGGGACTGATGGCCACATAGTACTGTAAGGGGAAGGTATCTACCAGATTTCAACAGGGAGAAGAGCATGAGAAAGCAGTCACGAGCCCTGCCTATCAGTCTTAGCCTCAGATGAACTTCTTTGTGGTTTTCTCGTCTTTTCCCTCACAGTGTATTGCCTTTCATTACATCCTTCGCTTTATTTTTATTCTTGTTCCAGTGAGACACTCAGCAATCTTTTTTTTTTTTTTTTTTTTTTTTTTTTTTTAATGCTTTTCACAGTTTGGGGAAACTTTAAGTGCTATTTTTCCTTCCACAGCAGGAAAAGAAAGTGACAGGACTGCACTCTTGTGCAAAGGTCGGCTGGCCCAGGGTGTGGATGGCACTAGCAAATTTAAAATAGTACTTGAATAAGAATACTTGCAATACTTGAAGTTTTCTTTTTGTTGTTTCTCTTTAAGAACATTTTACAGCACAGCTGCATCTCAGTGCATAATACTTAGGCACACATTCCGACTGTCAGTGTGGAAAGGGCGGGGCTTAGGGTTAGACTAACGTACATATGGTCTCTTTTAATTGTGACGGATTTATTCCTTTATCTCTTCAGTGCTTGCATTTTCATCTGAAGGTTAAACAAAGTGTGGGGAAAAAAAAGGACTTTTGTTTTCCAGAGTAGCTTTTCAGATTGTGGAGGGAGATTAGAATCAGATTTCAAAATGAGAGGCTAGCTGCATGTGAGAGAAAGACAAACCTATCTCAGATGCTCTCCTGAAAGCTGAAATACATTGATGTGAAATTTATAGAAATGTCTAACAGCTGAGCATCTCTGGGTGCTTTCAGTCTTCCCATTGCCATAGTTTAACAAACATGGCAATTTCTGTCTGTTTTCTGGAGTAACATCTAGGCTTGCGCATGACACTTGATCTGTAGGGTTGTGTCAAATTGCTCATAGTTAGTGTTTTATAAAGCTTCTACCAGGGTTTACTTTCATCTTTTTCATGTTTTCATCAGCAGCGCAGAGAGGCTTTTTGTATTCTGAAGATAATTAGCCCAGTGCATGATTTGGTAATAGATGCATTGAAAGGAAAAGACTTGTACATGTAATTGTAATAAAACTATGATCATTTGAAATCAGGCAGCACCAATTCATTTTCCAAACCCATAGGAGTGGGGCCAAACCAGAACTCTGTTTATACTTGACATTTATGCTCCTTACAAAAAGAAAAACATCTGGACTTGAGCATTCAGCTGCAGCTATAACATAAAGTGCATTGATGCTAAGGTGTTTTTCTGTTTGGTTCCCCCCCCCCCGTTACTTTTGTATATGGGGAGGCTATAAAACTCTGATTGGCTTCAGCATTGAAACTGGAACAACATTTGTGAAATAAAACCTAGGAAACCAGGATGTGTTGTGGCACCCAGACCACAATATCAGAATGATTCTGACGTATTGGTGGGTCAGGAAGGTTCTGTTTCTCAGAACAACCCAGGATACTGGGGACTGTTTTTATTAAGCAATTATCATTGACATCAGTAACATGCAAACATGTGGATTTCATATAGAAAATGGATTCTGACCTTTCTTCATTGATGTTAAGGATGTTAAGGCCTTTCATATCCAATTCTTATCCATTTCAGTGAGTCTTAGGGATGCATTAAAACATTTTATGGGAATGTACAAAGAACTGTTCTTTGCCAGTCTCTGAACTATGCCCAGCAGCTGAATGCGGGGAACCACAACTCAACCACACTTTGTCTGATTGGCTTTGACTTGGCATAGAGGATGGAGAAGAGCAGCTTTGTCGTGCATTTTCATCTCCTAGCGCCCAAATCCAGCCCTGCTGCAAAGAAGCACTGCATAGTGTCTGAAATTTCTTATTTTTACTGTTAGATGCTACTGTGGCCTCCCCACTGCAGAGGCAGGCACATGCTGCCTCTCTGTGCCACATCAGTAGCAAGGGACAGCACAAAGGAGACACTTCAAGGGTCCCTCCACCCATCTGCGTCTCAATAGCTATGACTTTTATGTAACACCCAGCCCCAAAATCTCAGAATATCTCCTACTTTGCTGGAGTCCTGACAACCCCAGAACCCTCTGATGTGTCCCAGTATGTGCTCAACAGCTGCAACAGCTGTTATTTGAGCAGTTATTTCAGTGCCTTGGCTTCCCTTCTGTCCCTGAATTTCAAGTTCTCATCCATCTACTCAGCCACAACTGCCAGTTAAACAATTAATTCAATAATAGTTATTGCAGCTCTGTAACATCTTCCTGAGATACCAATATAGTAGTTCTCTATAAGTGTAAGTTTATAATTACATGCATCTAATTTCTACACTTGCAAGTTAGTTAACTAAACTGAAGTAAATTGCTGCACAGGAGGAAAGCCAAAACCCAGTAGACAGCTGGCAAGGAGACCATCAGTACAAATCCAGTTGAAGGATCATAGATTAGCATGCCCTCATTCACTCAGATAAAAATCCTATAACTCAATAGAACTGTTAAGTTTGGGTTTCACAGATGCTTTCAGTTGGAACTGAACTTCTTGGTGGAACTTTTTCAGATTCATTTTTATGGAATGAAAGACTGATTTATTTATTTTTTTAATAATGGAAAACATATTTTTATTTTTCTGACAAAGTCCTCTCAGTAGATTCTTACAAGTTTATCAACTTGATATAAAGCTGAATAGCAAGTTACATACAGAAAGATGTGGATTCCGCTTTGCCCTCAAACTTTATCTGGAGTTTATTCTACTCTGTAGAAAGGCTGTCTAAAAGGAGAAGTTACAGCACACCAGGTTTCCAAAAATGTATTCCTATAAAGAGAAGATAATTTATTTAAAGACTGGTATATCAATGACCATCAGTAAGACATTTTTCCAGCTTAGAGGCTAAATACAATTTTAAAAAAAGGAATATATGGTCACACAAGTTTTTCATAGATATTTTGGATTAATTTGAATTAAATTATGCGTATCTTCATTTATTTTCAAATTATTTCCTTTTTTAAAGAAACATGCCTTTTCTGTAACTTGACTCCCTAAATACCTCCCAAACTGAGGTATTCCCCAGAGGAATCTGTTAGTAAATCTATTCCTATTTCCCAGGAAATGTCAGGGAGAACAAATGGCCCATGCAGTGTGACCTGAAGGTCAAGAGATTCAGGCTCTGATAAATTGCATCCAGAAGCATATGGCACAGTTGATGACCCCTTGCTGAGCTTGTCTTGCCTCCAGCTCCATGTGTCATGGTGAACCTGGGCTGTTAGTTCAAGTTTCTCAGATGGTTTCATCTGTTTCAGTGCTTTGAAGGTTGAGTTGAATGTGCCACTATGATGTGGACAAACACACTTAAAGATTGATAAAACTCATGTAAAATGCAGTTGGAAGCACAAAGTTTACTTGGGCAGGTTTTGGAGAACTGGGAGATGTTGCTATATCCTGCAGCAGCTGAAGCTATCAAGTGTTTTGAAGGTTCATCTCCGTATAAAGTGCACTAGAGAGAGTTAGCAAATCAGAAGGCCAAACTCCAAAGATGATGATGAGCCTGTTGCTACTACGCGAAGTCCAGAGTGGCTGGAGATCCAACAAGACCTAATTGTAAACCTGAGTTATGGACAGATGAACTCTGTAATTACTCAAGTTCTGATTGAGCATAAGCAGGAATTTAAATGCTTCTAGATCCCAGGATTTGGCCATATGGATACCTGAACATTAAATGTTTATAAGGCTTCATTTAGAAAAATGTTGACCTTTGGCAGCTCTCACTGTAATGAAGCAATTGAAGAACTTCATAGATAGAACAGGTACCACAAAATTTCCACATGAGAAGGACATAAATACGTCAAATGCCACAGAATATACGAGGAAACATTCTCCTTCCTGTGTAATTACATTTCACACTGTTTCTAAAAGAAGAGAAGTACAGTCGCTTAGAATGGAAATTTGTAAATGTCCCCAGATCTTTGAATGGGGATGTAAGGTGAGGACCTTAAACTGGAGCTTTTGACATTGCAATACATGAGTAATCCCACTGTTGTTATCAGATATAATACCCAGCTGGATACCAATGGGTTATTCAACAGTAATCAGCATTTGACATTGTACAAAGTGATCTTTAGTCCTACTTTACCTGTTGTTACAGGAAATTTCTCTTTTAAGTAGAAGCTTCTGAATCTTTATTTTATATACTCTCCGCGAATGTACTTGTACTTGGTCTTTTAGATTAAGCATAGTACCAAAATTAGTGTATGTGAAAGGATATTAATCTCCAACTAAGTATTTTTTCTTGTCTTCATAGGTTTCCCCTGACCTACAGAATGAAGTGCTTATTAGCTTATTAGAGACTGACCCAGATGTTGTGGACTATTTGTTGAGGAGGAAAGCTTCCCAGTCATCGTGAGTAATCTGTTTTTTCATCATCCCTGTTTCTGCTGGGAATTTCTATCTCCCACTGGAAGTGTTCAAAAGGTTCTCGTTTTCCACAGCTCTTCTGCACTGTCTACAGTGGAGTAGAAATATCCTCCCCATTACACAGACTCTGCCAAAGAAATTATGACTCTTGTACAGTGTTTTCTAAAGACAAATGTTGTTTCCCGATTCAGAGGAAAGATTGTGTTCTGCTGTAGAGAACAGAATGACATGTACATAAAAATATTCAGTGCACTATTAGCTGACAGGATGTATTCTAGTGGTCTGCTGGTTCATGTCTTGGGTTTGTTGTAGTCTTCAGTAACAGGAGACGTGTATTACACTGTCCTTGAAACACACCCTAGAGTGCCTTAACACAATCACGGGTTTGTTGTTCTTTTCCTATTGTACACACATTAGGACACTGTAAACAAGTCAACTGCCGCAACAGCAGGTTTATGGAGACTCTTTGGGTATTATTTAATTGTATGCTTTGTGAAAGATCTGAAGAGAAAAAAAATCACACCGGTCACTACTGCAGTTATGATACATAACGTATTCCAACTTTGTGTATGGTGTATATATGCCTACACCCGTGTGCCTTAACGCTATGAGTTTGTACATTCAGATTAACAGGATTCCTGGCTTTCTCATGGGACACGCAGTCATTGCCTTTATTCTAGTGAATCCCAATATGTCAGACCCAAAAATCACAAAATTTGACAAGCTTGCTTTAAGTAACTTTTAAGAGGTTTCCTAGACTCTAAACTCTCTGGAACAGATTGGACTTTGTCTTCCTGTGTGTGTGGAAAGTGCCTAGTGCATTCAGAGTATAATTAAAATTGAATTTGTACAGTCAGTTAGCTATGATTTTTTTTTCCTGAACATTGTATAGTTGGAGGTAATGTAATAGTGTGCCTGGCTTTAAAGGAGGAGGTGTAAAAGAAATAGTATAATTAACACATGGAGGAAGAAGCATTCTTTAATTATAAAAATTAAAAACAAAAATACATGCGAATATATCATGTGTTGTAAAGGATTTTATTAGTTTGTTGACTTAACCACATGTACAGATAACATGCTGTAGCAAATTATCACAGATCATCTGATTTTGTGGTAATTGTCTCTGTGTGTTTTCTTAGCGTACCAGAGACATGAAATAATTTCAGTTAGTTTATGTCTGACTGACACATAGCATGTGTATATTTAGATCACAATAAATGCAGGATAATTAGAGGTACGTTGGCTGTCTTTTACACTTGTCCACATTTGCCGTGAGCCACGACCACAATTAGGGGAGACACTGCAAATCACATGACATATGGTAAAGTCTGTAGAGACTTCTTTCTTTAAGCCCTCAGTTTGGAATGATCGTGTTTCTAACTCAAGCTAATAAAAACGTTCATGCTGGATCTCACCATCTATGTAACAGAAAGACATAAAATTGTATCTCTCATGTGGCTACCCATATCAATTGAGCATAAATTTGTTGCAAATAATTGTGGATGTAACAGATTATTGTTAAATCCTGTTTTCTTTAAGTTAATTGACCTTGAGCTTCCTTACTTTCCAGCCAGCACGCACACCTACAGGAGAAAATGGATCTTTTGTGCAAAGCTGGTCACAACTGACAAAAGGGGTTTTGTAAGAAAAGGTTGCGAAAGCAAATAGGAACATATAGCTACACTAGTACCCATTTATTGTATTTTCAGTAATGGGCAGATGAAGTATCACTGAGATAGGAGAAACTTACTATCTGTCATTTTTCTTCTGCTCTGCTAACATGTAAGTGATTTATTCTTAATGTTAATGAGATATGTTTTCACTGTGATTGCAACTTCTTGGTTAAAATATTCCAGGCAATTAGAGGGAATGTTGCTTAGTGTTATTGCTAAGAGTGTGATGCTCTTAAGAGATTAATCTATTTCAGAACATAATCTCAATTTTGAGGCTGTATATTTGTTGGTTATTTTTCCTGTGAGAAATGTGAGGCAGCAGACAACAAGGAGATGTTTGTCTTGATTTGACAAAAATAAGCCTCCAAAATACATCCTTACTACTCTTGGAAATTTCCTGGACGTGTAGTCAAGATCCAAATTGGGATCCGTGGAACAGAAAGCTTTACGTATTCTTGAGACAATCTTCATCAGAAAAGCTAGTTCACTGCATAACATAGAGTGTGGGATCAACTTCAAGACTTTAATGTCATGTTAATTGCTCTGAAGGTCCTGCTTCTGCAATTGCCCTCACATCTCTGCTTTTGATGTCGTTACAAATGCTTTCTTGGCTCTGATCTAACAGAGAAAACGCAATCTCTTTTCCTCCCCAGTGGAGGACAAATCAGATGTTCCTCATCTTTCGGTTCTCTTAAGAGCTGAGCATCGTGAGTGGTGTGTCAGCGAGTTTATGGAAGTCGTTCATGGTAAAGCACTAATTACCATTGGCAGCAATTCTGAAGTCTGCTCTTGTGGATGACTTTACTAACTTCTTTGTATGTTGGCTTGATGACAATGGAATTTGGGGTTTCCAGCTGTAAGATGAAGCATCTTTAAACTAACACAAAAATAAAACCTGTTTCTTATGATTATTTATTGCTTATCATAGTTGGTAGTCCTTTTAGAGTAGATGAGTTTCAAAGTTATAGAATTTTCAAATGTTTTTGGAAGGTGATGATGGGTTTTAATCCATCCTAACCTGTGGTGCAAAGATGAAGCCATATGATAGGCCATGTAGTATGCGAAAATGCAGTTTTCAAAGCTGCAGAGGCTCCCTGAATCATTGAGTCCTCTACCCTGTTACAGCAGCAACCACATCATAATCCCATAATAATCTGTTCTGTTGGTGGCACCTGTGTTGCTCAAATATGTATGGTAATTACTACTGCATGCTGCCAAGCCGTCACACTTTCTATGATTTGCCTCTTGTAAGACATAATTGTTTTCCCACTCAGAAGCTTTAAGGTATAACAGAAAAGGATTTCTGCCAAAACCGGAAAGGGATTTCCTGTTTTGATGACCTTGATGCCAGCAGAAAAGTAGGAATATCCCCAGTAGAAGTAATTATTATTATTAACATTTTTCCAGTTCACCCATGCAAGTAGGCTCTGGTGGATAACATCAGTTCAGAAGGATGCCAGTTAAAAAGGAAAGCCCAAGACTCCTTTATAGCATAGTTGATTTTCATTTTGGAATCTGAAATATTGTTTTTGAACACATGTGGCATAGGTTCCTTCTGCAGCTTTCAAATCTTTTAGTTTGTACATAACCACTTTTTAAATCTTTTCTTTAACATAGTTCACAACCACTAGAAAATACTTTGCTTGCCTTCCCTTTTCTCACATTTGATAATACATAATCTTCTATTATTCTTTGTGGAGACCATAATCTGCCCTTATTCATGGACTGCATATAGGCGACTGGGTATCTTGCACAATATTAACATTTGCCTCCCAATTTAGTTTTTCACCAGTGTGTGGGTAGAGAACCTCACAGCTATCCAGGGGAAGATGAATTTTGAATTTTAGTAAATATCCATTTGCTACTGAACTCAAACCATAAAGCAAACAGATGCAAAAGTTTTGTTTGAAGGAATATGTGAGAATTCATTCTTTATTTGGAAAGATGCAAGCCAAAGTCTTTTGCAAGTTGTGTTGTATTTTGTTCGTGAAGAGCATCGTAAAACTGCAAATGTAGATCAGTTTCCAACTTTAAAGTATTCAATCCATTTTGATGGTTTCTTGCAGTAAGATTGGCAGAGTCCACAGGCATTTTCTTTGATTTTTAAAACTATTTTTTCTAAGCAAATTTGAAAGTGTTATTTTACATATATATATAAAAATTGCATGGGCTTACTAGCAGAAACTGTAAATGAGTTTAGAAACTGGAACATTTGGATCTTTCCAAAGACTTGACAGTTTCCATTTGAGTAAATTTTTATCAGGAGCTCTGTCTTGAGAAGAGATAGACTATAACAGATCATTCAAGGTAAGACATGAAATCAGTGTTTCACAAAGCTCAAGTTTATGTTCCCACATTCTTTCATTCCCATTTCCCTTTCCCCTATTCCTTGTGTTACCTTGCCATGGCTAAGTGGTGGTATACCTCTCTCTTTGCCTTGTGCAACACAGTTAGGTTTTGGTCCTGCAAAGGTTTACATACAATTAGCCTTATTGGTGTCACCGTTCGTGCTAAGTATGTCTGTATGCTAGCAGAGTGAGGTTTAGATGACGTGTAGTCTACAAAGCTGGAGAGAAAGACATTTGGTCATAGGAAATCTACAGGTACCAACAATTCTCCCCTTTTCTCTCAGGTCTTTCTGATTCTTCTAAAATTCCAGAGACACTGCTTAAATATCATCTTAACTCACTGTACAAGTTTTTTTAGAACTTAAGAGGGCAGAAAGAGAGGTGTAAGAGAAAAAAAAAGAGGAAAACAAATGTGGTAGCATCGTGCATACTTGAAAGACAATAATTCTTCAGGGTGTGGCTCTTCATAGATTAATTTACCTTGGACTCATCTTCAGATGAGAAGTTGAGATGGGAAGTTACATAATTGAGGCATGATTTACTTTCTTTTTTTTTTTTTTTTTTAACAACTCCCCAACATGACCATACCAACCACAGTGGGAAGCCTGGGACAGCTCTACTTTGCCAAATGTCAGCTCTGGTTTTGTGAGTTGGCCCCAGTTGAGGTTCAGGATCAGTTCAGTGATGGATTTCTTGCTGGGAGTTACCAAGGAGTAAACTTAGATAATTCATTCCCAACGCTTTATCGTTGCTTTTATACTGAAAAAGAAAAAAAAGTAATATTGAATAACATAAAAATCATGATGTTGAGTGTATATGTTTTCTATTTTGGGACATGCAATGTGTAAATTGGCCAGGAAACAAAAACAACAGCTTGAAAGTGGTGTTAATTTTGTCATTATTTCTGTATTAATATTTAGTGTGCTTTGGCTAGCCTGTCTTACCGCTGTGTGTTTTCTTTATTTTCTTTCTTCAGTTTTATTTCACTTGTCTGGAAAGAGGGTTATTGTTCCATAACAAGTAATGTGCTTTGGCTGCTCACTCAGTTCAAGCTCTCTTTGGATTTGACTCTGAGAAGGGCTGACTATTTTCAGTACACATTTACAAGAAAGAGCCTCTGTCGTATCACATGCCATTAGAGCAGATAGTAACGTGAGGTCACGGAGAGAAGTGTTTGACTCAAGAGAAGCAAAAGATGAGCATCTAAGAAACAAAGATCAAGGTGCAGAGGAACGAAAAATGAGTAATAGGAATACAAATTAGGGTGAACCAATAGGAAGAAAGTTATGTTTGTTTACAGAGTGTTTCTATGTATTCTTTGGGATGTTTAGTGAATCACGGATTGCCTCCTGTCTGCGTAGTAAGCGGTAACAGTTCAGGAAATCTCCCTCAGTGTTCCCAGCACACTTTAAAAATGAGAGTTGTCTCTCTGAGCCTTGGCTGTACTTTGGTGGGGGTTTTGTTTGCCTTTTTGTGTCAGAATTAAATGCAGGCCATGCTGTTGGTGATGTAAAGGTGAAAGGGTAAAAGAAGTTGTAGAAGCTATCACCAGAGCCAGTTGTTTGCTGCCCCCACCAGAGGTATGGTAGGTACATCTACTTGTCCCCTGTAGAATATTTACCTTCTGGTGTCTCTAGAAGAGGATCCTTCTCACAGTGTGAGAGGCAAGCAGTGGTTTTGATTTCTCTGACTGTGGAGTACTTCAGAATGGAAAAAGTGAGTTTAGCATACTGCTTAGCATCAAACTAATCTTCCCTATCATGCCCTCAGATTTACTGTCACAACAAGCTAAATTGTCAAGGTAACATAAGGAATTGATTCACTATTTAATTTCCTGTGGTGAACTGTACGGTTGTGTGGTTTTTGTTGTTTTCTTTCTTGACAGCAACATCTTTTGATTTTTAGTGGCCTCTGCTGGCCACTTCATGGCAAAAGTTTTACTCATGGAAAATTCACCTCTCTACTGCTTCTGAAGTGTTTTCATTTCAGCAGCTGTGATCATACTCCTGTATTTGATTTTATTTGTATGATGTCAAACTGTACCTGTAGCTGTGAACCTAAAGCATTTTTCATTAACAGTAGTTTGTTTATCAAAATTTCTCAGGAGCCCTGAGATGCTGCGGTCAGAAGGTTCCTACTCCACAGGAGGAAGACATTCTTCCACAGACTCCAACAAAGCTTCAAGCGGAGATGTCTCTCCTTACGACAACAACTCCCCGGTACTGTCTGAGCGCTCGCTGATGGCAAGGCAAGAAGAAGTTGCCCGCAGCCCAGATAAGCTGTACAAGGTACCTGAACAGTACACGCTGGTTGGACACTTGCAGCCTAAGACAAAGGAGAATTCTTCTGCATCACAGGCTGGAAAAGGTAGAGTACATCCTGCTCGTGTTCCTCCTCCTCAGCGACCGATGGGGGTTTCTGAAATAATTGAAAAGTGCCTGTCTGCTCTGTTTTATCATCTACCAGGAGCTGAGAAGCAACAGTGTAAATAACCTGACGAGAAATGACTGACCAACATCCTTGCGTTGAGCCCCAAGGGTCTGTGCTCAGTCCTCCTTGTTAGCTCAGCCACCTATCAGGGATGCTCTTGGTATGGCATTTCGCAAACCTCAGAGCAATTATTTAGGAAAATAGAGTTATGTATGTCCCGCTTTTCAGCCTGTCTGTGACAGTGTGGCAAAGATTCTGATTTCTAGTCCTGCTCCATAGGACTGTAATACCTGAAAGGTTGTGGTCCAGACTTTGGAAAAATCTGAGACTTGAAGACGTCAAGCTACAAATTTTCTCCCATTGAAAAGAATGATCTCGGCTCCTTCTCATTGGAGAATACAGCTGAGCTGCACAGCTTTACATCTGCTACCAGTTACACACCTCGCAATACTAGTGCAAGGATCCATAATTTCCGTAGCTATCTAGGGAGTGCACACCTGAATGGTTTCTTCTGTAAACAACTGTGGTTTAAACTGATAGCTCACCAGCACTTCAAGATGCTTTGCATTTAAAAATATTTTTTAAAAATTTACATTTGTGAAACGCATATTTAGTGAGACAAACTTCAAGGACTTTCAGTGCTTAGGGATGCAGATAACTGGTGGTATTTTAAAAACCATTTTATTTCAGAGGTACTGGTTAGGCACTTAATTCCCTTTGGAATTAATGCTATTTAGACTATTATCTCGATTATATGCTTTATAAATGCCAATGGGCATTTATTTTCTGCATTCAGCATCTAAACCTCTGAATAGGTTTCAAAATCTGGTCCGATTTCTAGTAAGTTATAAACGGGAAATTGCATGAAGTTTTATCATATTAACCATCTTTTGGACTTTAATATGCATCACAACAATACCGGACCATGACGAATTAGGAAATTCCTTTACTGCCAGATGGAATCAGAAAAAGGCACGAAACAGTTATAACCCAGCACAATGCCTGACGTGTGCATTTCATTAAATCTCTGTTCTGTGACAGCGCTCCCTTGTAAGAACCAAGTGATGCTGCAGGTTGATAAAGCATGCCTTACAGTGACCCCTGGGGCTGGGGCTGCCTGAGGGAGCTTTGCCATTCTTTCCCCTAAAAAGCACCTGAACTACCTTCTGTTGACCGAATCCTCCTGTTCTCCTGCAAGTTCTCCCACTGACTTCAGTGAGGCTTAAGGGAAATTCCACTCTCTCAGCAAGCTCAGGTGTCCTGCCCATACAGAGCTCACTGAATTCATTACAGAATCTGAGTCTGAAACAGCAAGTAACTGTGAACAACACATTTGAGATCTGTTTGTGTTAGGTGCCAGGTAAGCCAGATGCTAGTATGTGTTAACGACTCTGATACCTTACATAAAGTTTTATGTCCTCTTAACTTACTGTTCTGTTTGAATGCTTTTAAATAGTCACTTGTTCATTAAGGATCGATTCTTCATCATCTTCCTGCTCTTACTGCTATTTAGATGTTTCCGAAGATCATTTTGATATCTGGGGCACCTGGCATTCCACGCTGAAAAGTGGCTGCAAAGATCCAGCAATGACAGGTCAGTTATTTTTCAGAAGTTTTAAGCCCAAATCTAGGAAAGACTTAACAGCTTCCTGGGTTGGAGAAATCGCAGTGAAACCAGTAGGAGAACTCGCACTGTCCAGAGCTGGACTTTTAAAAGGTTGCTGTTCAATAAAATACAGAGAAGCACAGTGGTTATACAAATGCAGCGACATTTCAAACTGCACAAGATAATTTAAAAAGTCATTTTAAAATTACTTCAAAAAATAGTTTTTTAGTCTCCGAAAAGTCATTGGAAGGTGAACGCCCGGTGGGGATTTGAGAGCAGCTGCCGCAGTGGCACTAGCACAGGCTGTGCGGTCGGCAGCCCTGGGTGCTGACCCTGCCACTGGCCGGCATGGTCCCGGCGAGTCCCTGGGCTGTCCTGCCTTTGTTTTTCTCCCATCTGCACCCACCTCACAGAGGAACTGTGGGACTAAAACAGCCCCCTACTTTTCAAGCATTTGAAAGATGTGAAGTGCCACAAGGCTTTATGTCAGAGCAAAGTATTAGAGTCGCCGGGTAACGTTAGACATGGTTCAGATAGACGTAGGGCTGCTGCTCTGTGTCCCTGGGTTCAGCCGGTGGTGAGGCTGTTCCGCCTTCCGTCGCATAGCCTGATGAGGAAAGTCCCCATCCCTCTTCTGCAGAGTGATGCAGGGGGAAAGCAGTAACTTGTTAAATGCCGCGTAAAGGATTATGCAGACTGATGTTGTCTCTCTGACTCTGCCCCCCAGGTTCTTACGGGAACATTTATGAAAGCAGCTTGCTGCGACCCGGACCGTGCTCCCTTTCCCAGGGGAACCTCGCCATGTATTCTCCTCGGTGGCAGGGCAGCTCCTCCGACTTGGACAATGGCAGGCAGGTCATGCGAAGGAGCCAGACGACTGCTGCCATTTCTGAGTGTCAGCTCCATCCCACAGTGTCTCGGGTGTGCAGTAACCCACAAGTCGAAGTCGGCAGTAGGAGTTCAGACCTGTCACACTCGAAGTCGGAGCGGCATTTGACTTTAAGCAGTGTGGAGGACCTCAGTGAGCACGACTCGAATGTGGGTTGTTCACAAAGCACAGCCAAGCCCCCCTCCAGAAAAGAGAGGCCACCACCCCCCTACCCAGGCCCAGCAAAAACAAGCTCTGCCTTGTCACAGCGATCGAGCGTTTCTTCAACGTTGCACTCTCTGTGGAGACTTCAACGCCAAGAAAAAAGTTCAGGGACCAGAGCAGCTGGAGGACCGCCAGCCAAAGCCCCTGACCAGGCCACCTCCAGGCAGGAGCGGCCGGCCCCGCGCAGCCAAGCGGGTCACATCTATTCCACAGCACCTCACAGTCAGAACAGTAAAAATGTTTCAGAGGCAGACTGGCATGATTGGCAAAGGGAGCGGTGGCAAATTTGGGAGCTTTTATCAGCTGATAACCCCGATGCCCTCCCGGAAACCCTTGTATGATCGGACCCTGCAGAACTGCCACTCATACCTATGCCTCCCTCTCATAGGAAAACAACTGTGACATTGGAAAACGGGGAGGGCTTTTTTGTTTTATACCAGCTGAATCGCATATACTTTTTTTAAACGTTGTTCACTTTAATTTCTTAACAGCACTGTCAAGCAGTCCATTTACAAATGCAGTATGTTCCTGTTTTACACCAAGCTTTTGAGGAAAAAACAAGATGAAAATTTTAGTGTAATAACTCTGTATGCATACGCTGTGTATAAGATAAAACTGTTGCTTTGATGTTGCTAAAAACGTATTTATATATCTGCAGTTTTGATGATTGTATATTCTGTAATGGGTATTGTATGATAATCATATATTATGTTTTCATATACAGATGTCAATCAATCATGACTGCTTTTTTAAAAATCACTGCACTTACATTACCGTGATATGCATTGGAATTCTATAGAAAGTGCACAAGCTGGTTTCTGTGCTTATATAAAAAAAACCTGTTAAAGGGGGAAGTTGTCCTTCTTTTCACTGCCTGTTGAAAAACACTAAAATGGAGTGGAACATGAAAAGCCATATATTTTATAAGGGTACTAGTGACAGGGGAAAATACCAAATATTTTTTTCTTATAAATATATTTACAAGCAGAATTAAAATTTGATACAAGATTGTAAAAATATTTTTTTAGATTCTGGTAGGAAGGAGCTCAGAGAATCAGCTAAGGGCAAGGCCGTGCCTAAACCAGCTAAGGATGTAGTGCGAAGGTCTGCCCTCCCATTCTAGAGGAAAACAGAGGTTATGTATACAGGATATAATATATATATTTATAAATGTATGATTTTATGTATTGTTCTAAAACAATAAACTGGAATCCAAATTTTAGAAACCCAAACCCAATACATTGAGGCGTGTAACAACTGAGAAATAATATGGCTTTTCCTTCGAAATAACAAAGCTTCAGCATTAAGTAAGTCAAGAGAAAGAAAAAACACTGCAGAGGGGAATACGAAAGGGAGTCACACAGAGTTTCAGAAATTAACATGACGTTTGGAGAAGTTCACAGCTGCATTTCTATAAATATTGTGCCAAAGTCTGGGTCAATAGTACTTCTTCAATAACTGTATGTTGCGTTGTTAAATGTTGCTGTTTTATACACATTCTGGCGTTTCTAAATTGCGAAATTGTTTATGGCCAGCAGGTGGCAATGTACTTCAGTATTCTAGAGAAAATTCTTTTTATCGCTTGATAAGGGAAAGTGTATCATATCAAATGAATTGCATAAAACATATTAGTCTTAATTTTAATGAAGTTGAAGACTTATTCAGTGATGTTGTCTTTAAGTTCTGTCTTGTGCCATAATGATGGAATAAAAAACTAAGCAAAATAACGAGCATATTTTTTGCTCCTTTTTTTGAAGTAAGGTATATGTAAAGACTGATGTGTTTTTATTACAGTCTTGAGTATCTCTGTCAAAAACATCTAAAAGGCGTAGGAGCTTAAGGACCACTTTCAAATACAACTTAAATATACAAGATCCAAGGTTTTACTTGAGTTTTAGGCTTAAAATCCATCATATAACAAGTCAACCCATCAGATCTCCATTTCCCAAGTAAAGTTGTAAGATAAAAACCCTAACCCAAGCAGAAAGGGGCAGGATTTGGCCTCTGACTGCTGGAGCACCGTCAGGCTGGCCAGCTCTTTTTATGAAGACTGCATTCAGAATAAATCTCATCTCTCTTCTTCTGGTGGGTACCAGGCTTTTCCAAATACGGTCTCAATATGAGACCTGATAGGGAAAAGTTCTTGCATGTAGCTTGTTGCAGCAGCTCTGTGTCAATTTATTACCAAAAAAAACTCCACCCCAAATTAAAAAGATAGTGGAATATAAGGAAGGACAAAAATGAGCTCTCACAAGCAATCTTCACTATTTGACCTTGTCTCAATATTATCCCAGGCTTGATACTGATTCGCTACAGGGAATTAAAGCTCCCGTGTGGTCCTCAAAACCAGGCACAGTATAAATCCTGCTGCAGAAGATGCTCTATTCACTAGATGTCCATGTCTTAATTATAAATCCCTTTCTAAATACAGAGGCACCTGCACATTTTCAACATTTTTAGTGAAATAAGTCTATTGATTAGTCAGCCTCATGAAGAGCTTTCTTTTTGCCAGCACCTCTCTGTAGATACGTGTATATTACCATCTATATGGAGTTTATGTGAAAATGGAGAACAAAAAACAAGACCGCTGCTGGAGGACAACCTCGTCTGCACACATTTCAATACAATTGCTTGGAAGAAAAGAGATACAGAATAAATTCTGATGAATTAAAGTAACGCTTGCCAGGATTACGTAATTTCTGTCTGTTATTTTCATTTGAACAGGACAGAGCAAAATTATCACGAGCAGGTTAAGGATGTGATAATTTTTAGTTCTGCCTCTTTCCAGGCTGAAATCAGCGACATAATTTCTTTTGATGTCTTTTTTATATTTCACAAGAAATGTAGCCATGAAAGGTTGTTTCTAGTTTCACATTAGCTGATAAATCTGTGTGGGCTGTTCCATTTTAGATCTCTGCAGTGTTTTTCCTCCTATGATGCATGCTCTTGTACAGCCATAATATTCCTCTTATGGGGAAAGTCCGTAGTGTAGGGATATCAAAGCCTTTTCTCTGACTGTTTCCCTTGGGAGCAGGATTCCTGTTGTAGCAAAAGGATCACGGGCCTCTGCTTCAGTGAAGAGCGTGGTAGAGAAGGTCTCCTGAGGCCTCAGGGCAAACTCCTGCAGTTCAGTTCCCTCCCATCGCAGCACGCTGGTTCATACCAAGGATTGAAGAAAAACCTCTTTGCCCTGATGGTCTGCATCCCCTCCTCCCAGGGGGTGCCTCCCAGCTGGGCGGGAGGGTGCGCTGCGCTCGCAGGTGAGCCTGGCAGAGGTGAGATGTGGGTGCCTGCGGGTTGCCCACGGGGCAGGGGTTGCTCCTCTCTCTTCTGTTGCAGAAATAAAAAAATCAGTGCGGCTCTAGATACAAGCCAAATGTGGTGGGGAACCTCTGAGCCAAGGGAAAAAAGGAAAAGCTCAGACTTTAAAATATTACTTTAAAAATTACTGTTGCTGATGTCTTTTAAAACAAGATGTGGTTACACAGTTGACTCGTCCATTCCAAGACCACGGTCCGCTGCTGAGGGGTAAGTTGCACCTTCTCCCTCTTCCCCAGCCGCCTATCCCATCCCTTACACCAGCTCTTGGAGTGCTGGGAGAAATCCTGGGGCTTGTTGCTCTGGCTGAAACTCACCCTGTACAAGGAACACATACAATTCAGGTAGCTCAGCGGCTTTGCACAAGCAGTAGGCACAGGGGAGGAGAAGGGATGGGGTCAGAGATGGTGAGAGGAGGAGCGTGGGACTGGCCACCCCTTCTGGCAGCAGCCTCCAGTTAGCCCTGTTTAAGCTACTCATGCAACTGCAGGGCTCGCTGCTTCAACGTGTAGGCAAGAGCCCGGCCAAGCACTCGAGAGCGGCTCTGGGTTACAAACCGAAGCCAGTTCCACTGCCGGCTTGGGTGCTTGAAACCTCTCAAGTGGTCTGCTGTCTACATCGGGAGCCTAGGCTGCTACCGTGGCACAGCTTAATGCCCCTCGGAACGTCTCTGCTGCCGAAGTGACGTGGTTCAATGGGCTGGAATTTGTGGCTGTGTGGTCTGGGGACAGGGGGGGTCCTGTTTTGTTACTGGGTTTGTTGTTTCACAGGCATCGGTTGAGGTCAAAAACCTCAATTCCAGCCTTTCTGGAGCACCATCTTGTTCTGTGCTGCTGGTCTGGCAGAGGGTCAGGGACTTCTTTCTCCTCTGGAAAACACATGGGATGTCTGAGCCTCACCTTGCTCCCTCTCTCTGTCTCTTTTTTTCCCTTCTCTTTGCATTCATTTCCAAAAAAAGAAAAGAGTAGCTCCATTGTGCGATGCCGTAACCTCACAGAACTGCAAAGCAGTGGAAATGGTCCTCAGTTGCATTAAAGAGTATCCTGACATCAGTGAGCCCTTTTACAACATCAGTGAGAACAGCCAACTACTGCTGTGCTACAGTCGCTTTAGGGGAAGGCATCTCGGCGTCCAGACAGTGCTGCAGAGACCGCAGAGCTATTCAAGGCATGTAGACACCCAGAGTGCTGGGTCGTAAAATGCACCGTCTCTGAGAACAGCATTCATCTAATTTTTCTGAAGTTTAAAGCATCTCAAAAGGTGGTATCTACATCTGGAAAAGGCACTCACAGCCTCCCTTTTTATTCCGTGGAGAGAGACAGGTACTTCTGTGCTACCATCCATACAGCCTACTTGAGTCTTTCTTTGAAGGATGCTCCCCTTTGAAGGGCTGGTCACTAGAAGAGCCCGTTTCTTTCCACTGCCTACATAAACGAAGCCTAAATAAGTTGCCCAAATAGAGACCTCTCTACGGTAGCCCTCCAAGTTTTGTTGAATGAATCCCACCCTAAGGGTCTGGTGAAATAGAAAATGGATGGCGATCCCAGCAACAGTGAGAAGGAGCATTTAATAACGCTGTTGTCTAATGCCAACTAATTATTACAGCCTGGGGAAAGGAAAGCCAAATGTTCAGCACACCTTTCAGCTCCTGGGAAAAGCGAAACTTATCCAGAGGCCTCGGCGATGGTTGTGTTACTCCCTGGGCTCCCGGGCGAACCTGGGGCTGGTGGGGCTGGCAGAGACAGTGCTGCTCTTGGGGGCCTGGGGAGGCGGCCGGCACAGGGAGATGGCCGGCACAAGGAGATGGCATGCTCAGCTCTGCTGGGTGCTGTAAGAAATCCAGGCTTTTTGGAAAGCAAGGGAGAGATACTGCCTGGACTGGAACTGCACCTTTGTTTTAATTTTTTTCTTTTTTTTTAAATGGGATTTATTTGTTCACTGGAAACTGTTTACAGCTAATCTGAAAGCGTTCATGAACAGCACCAGGATTTAATTAATTCCTTCAGCCAATTAAGAAATTAAC